ATTATTATTATTATTATTATTATTATTATTGTAATAAATGTTTGTATATCGTTTTGTTTGGATATATATTCATAATTTTTGAATTGCATATTTACACTTATTGAATCTCTATATTCATAATTACATAACAATATATGTTTATAATTATGTTCACAACACTATGTTTATAATTATAGAACTATATATCATAATTATGAACAATTTTTTAACTGTGTCTACTTTGCAAGGTGGACACGGTGGCACAGCATAATTTGTCGGGTCAATAGTACTAAAAAAAAGAGTCTTTGGACTTCGCAATACTTGCCACATTGATGGGCAAACAATTATATGTTTGTAAGAGGAGCAATGATCCTCTTATATAGAGCAGCTCAAGAGTTCCTCTTTCCAAACATTTTAAATGTGGGATCAAAATGATCTCACATCATTTACATAGGGGAGCCACCTTTGTCTTCTTTTTTTTTTTTTTTTTTTTTTTTAATTTTAATTTGTATATAGTTTTGTTTGGATTATTATTATTTTTATTTACGAATTAATAGATTTTATTTAATATCCATTTAAGATTTACTTACCAAATAAGCTTTACTACAAAAGTTTGGGCGGGAAAATGAATTAGGATGGTTTTGTTTTTAATTAATAATTATATATAGATAGATTGATTCTATTTCATTTTTTAAACAAAATCTTCCTTAAAGATTAATAGTAAAATAAAACTAAGGGAAAATGGTACTTTTTTCCCCCTGAGTTATATACTTATAGTACTTTTTCCCCCTGAATTATTTAAGTGATTCTTTTTCCCCCTGAAATGTTAAATGGACATATTTACCCTTAAAATAAATATTTTATTTATTTTTCTTCTCCAATAAATTATTACTATAATTTGGTTCAAACCAAACAGATACTATAGCAACCAAACCAAAATATTCCAATTACAATTTATAATCAAAATGCGATATTTAGAGTTTATTAAAATCGCGAACCAGAATGGTCGGTTCATGTTCCGAACTGAAAAAATAAAATACATTTATTTTTGAATTTAGACTATTTTAAAATAAAAAATAAAATTTTAAAATAAAGACGGTTCAAAATCGTGAACCGGATCCGGAACCGCCGGTTCACGGTTCATGATCCAGTTTTTTTATTCTTAAATTTAATAAATTGAAATCCAAATATTGGGTTCTAGATCTGAATCATAACCGAAAACTTTTAATTCGATTGCTATAGTGTTTGGTTCAGTTCGAACCGAACCGTGGTAATCGCTACATATACGCAATAATTTGTTGGAGAAGTAAAATAAATAAAATGTTTACTTTAAGGGTAGAAATGTCAATTTAATATATTAGGGGGAAAAACCACCACTTTTAAAATAATTGAGGGGGCTAATGTGCTTACATAAATAATTGAAGGGGAAAAAATGCTATAAATATATAACTTATGGGGAAAAAGTGCCATTTTCCCTAAAACTAACTTATTAATAACCGATTCTATTGCATTTTTTTACGCAGAATTTTTCTTCAAGATTAATAGTAAAATATGGCTAAATTATTAATAACCAATTATATTCTATTTTTTTGCAAAATCTTTCCTAAAAGATTAATAGTAAATATCTTAATGATTCTTTTTCTTATACGGCTTATTGATTCTTTTCCATTTTTCAAAGTGTAGAAAAAATTCACATGGCTAACATTTCCTTCCATTCATTTCCATTTTTTCATATTATTATTAATTTCCTTCCCAATATTATTCTATATTGTTTTGGCGTACGGCTTCCTTCCATTCATTTCTATTTTTTCATATTATTATTAATTGTTTAGGTGGGAACTTGTAAAGGAGGTTATTATTTTTATTAATTAATATAGAATATAGATTACCAATTAAAATTAAAATTTTTATTATAATTGAACAATAATATTACCAATTATTATTTGAATATTTTGTAAAATAATAAGTAAAATTGTATTATGAATAGGAAAAATATATGTACTTTAATTTTAATTTTAATTATTAATAATTAATTCTATTTTATTTTTTAACAAAATCTTCCTTAAAGATTAATAGTAAAATAAAGCTAAATTATTAATAACCGATTCTATTACATTTTTTTACACAGAATTTTTCTTAAAGATTAATATAGTAAAATTAAGCTAAATTATTAATAACCGATTCTATTACATTTTTTATGCAGAATTTTTCTTAAAGATTAATAGTAAAATAAGGCTAAATTATTAATAACCAATTCTATTCTATTTTTTACGCAAAATCTTCCATAAAAGATTAATAGTAAAATATCTTAATGATTATTTTCCTTATACTGCTTATTGATTCTTTTCCATTTTTCAGAGTGTAGAAAACATTCACATGGCTAATATTTCCTTTCATTATTTTTCATATTTCCATATCATTATTAATTTTCTTCCCAATATTATTATTAATTGTTTGGGCGTATGGCTTCCTTCCTTTCTTTTTTATTTTTCATATTATTATTAATTGTTTAGGCGGGAACTTGTAAAGGAGGATTTGTGTTTATTAATTAATATAGAATATAGATTACCAATTAAAATTAGTTTTATTTTTAATATTATATTTGAATAATAATATTACCAATTATTATTATTATTATTATCATTATTATTATTATTATTATTATTATTATTATTATTATTATTATTATTTTACTACTACTACTACAGAGTAATTATGGCGATCCCATAATTACGACAAAAAATAAATACACTTTTGACCTATACAATGAGGAATTGAGCATGGACTTCATAACTGTCAAAACCGACACCATGAGAATAAAACAACTTAACAAATCAGAACTTCAGAAGTCCGATTACTTCAATAATCAACGCAAAGAACTATGAAGAATATAATAATAGTCAATTGATGTATTAAAGGAGATTACTGCTATATCTTGTCGTGTATATTACAACAGAAACACTTAATCACTCCCCATCCTCCAATCACCCATGAGTCACACATTTTATTGTGTGGCACTTTAAACTCTTGACTAATGACAGTATAGTAAAAAAATGAAGAGAGAGATTAGAGGAGTCAGCACTCAGCATCCCTTTAAACGGGCAGGAGTAGGCACCACTCAAAGCGAGATTCACATGAGGTTGCCTTTCATCAATGATAATGAAACTTCAATAGAAGCAAAAAATCAATATATGAAATGGACTTGGAGTAACCGTAAAAATATTCAGAATAAATCATAATCTAGGCATATGATATGAATAGCTTTTTGCTGAAAAAAGTAGTAAATTTGGACAACACAACCATGAAAAACATATTGTATCTAATCCAATCAAACTACTTGAATGCTAAACCTACTGTTAATTTCGAAACGCGGCTGAACTGAATGATCAAGCTAGGCTGAAGACCTAGTGGGAAAAAAAGGGATGCAATATAAAATGAAGACTTATAATTTTTGTAGTAATCAACTCATTGTATTTATAGGTGAAAAATATGAGAATTATAAATTTGTAAAAATTTTCAAAAAGAAAGTGTATTTATTTATTTAAGGTATTACCCTAATCAATTCATTAAATTGATATTCCTAATCAATTCATTATATTAATATTCCTAATTAATCTTATTCCTAATTAATTCATAATATTGATATTACTAAATTTCCATTTTTCATTTTCTTACCAAATAAGCTTTATTAAGTATTTGACCAATAAAATATAAAATATTTAATTAATTTGACTACAAAAGTTTGAGCGGGAAAATGAAATAGGAGGATTTTACTTTTATATATATATATATATATAGATATATAGATATAGATAGATTAGTATAAATATGCTAATTTATTTAAATTGAAAGTCTAGAATATTACTCCGTAATTTGAAAATGTCAAAAGTTATTGCTGAACCCGGTCAATAAGCTCGACAGTCTTGAGGATTTTACGAGTAAGGCTAAGAATTTTGAACCCGAGGCCCAATTGATAAGCCTGACAACTCAATAGAGTTAGTTCAAAATAGGCAATTTATATCCTACACCACGGCGCGCGTTGCATTGTGCGCTCAGATGCAAAACGACGTCGTTTCAATTTTTATTATTTTTTTAAAAATTTCGCTACCCAGTGTTTGACAGTTAATTTTCCTTAAAAAAAAAATCTCATGTTCAAAAATGTACATAATGTTATACTAGAATACACATAATTGTATACATGAATGTACATACTTATATAACAAAATACACATACTCTTTTTTAAAAGATAATACACATAATCTAACATAATACATAATATACATCAACTCTTAACATAATACACAAAAATTTTCTGATTCGGGTGTACATAATTGTATAAAAAAATGTACATAATTGTATAAAAAATGTACATAATAAAAAATATACATAATTGTATAAACAAATATACATAATCATGTCAACTTCCTACCGCGCCTCCCAAAATGACGTCGTTTTGGGAGGCGCGCACAATGCACTGTGCGCCGTGGTGCAGGGTATAACGATTGTTCAAAATAGAACGTGGCTCGATTGACATCCTATGATTATTGTAATTAATTACATTTTTAAAAAAAAATTAGGGCTATTAGTTTTTTTTTTTGGGCACTCAAAAATAATTCTTTTTTACTTTATTCCTAACTTCTAAACTTTCTCTATTAACTTTTCCCCTAAATATTCGAACAAAGAAATTTTTTTATTTACCATCCTCAAATTTTACTACACGTTTCACAATATTAATATAAATATTTTTGATTTTATTTTTTTTATGTTTATATTTGTAAGATAGTTTTTTTTTTTTTCCTTTTTGTTAACTACAGCTGTTGTTAGCAACAATTTGAGAAAAATAATTTTATAATATGAAAGTTAATAAAGGTTTATAAAAATCTTTCATTTTAAAAGTTTTTAAAAACTACAAAAATCATACAAATCTTAACTATTGGTATGCCTTAAAAAGAAAAAGAAAAAGAAAAAAAGAAAAAAAAAAACCATCAATTCCGCCGCATGGCATCAGGATATGTATTGATCATGCTCTGGGAAAGGTTCCGGCTGCAGCGGCGGGCTTGCGGCGGCAGAGAGGACAGCAAAGGCTTCTCTCCAGCCAAGTTGAGAGGCAGCCGTCGTGAAAGGAACAATGGTTGCAAGGCATCACAGCCACCACTGTCCCCGCCGTTAACTCCTCTAAGCAAATAACGCAACAATCACCGTCTCCTCCGCCACAATCCCTCTCATCGTACTCTATTATCTTCCTCTCCAACGACTTGATCGCCTCCCTGTTCTGATCTACGCCCCTCGTCGCCTCCGCTCCGGAATTCTCGCCGGATACTAAGATAATTTCGGTAGGATATGCTTCTGCATCGTAAGAAAGATATGTTACTTCTTCGTCATCGAGAACAGAATCACCATCAGAAAGATTTGCTAATTCATCGGTGAGAACAGAATCATTGTCTGAAGGATATGTTACTTCTTCATTGTCGAGAACATAGTCATCGCGGAAAAGATATGTTACTTCTTCATCGCCGAGAACAGAATTATTGTCCAAGAGATTTATTACTTCTTCATTGTGGATAACAGAATCATCATTGGATGCTACTTCTTCATGGCCGAGAATAGAATCATCATCAGAAAGATATGCTACTTCTTCATTGTCAAGAACAGAACCATCGTCCGAAAGATATGCTACTTCTTCATTGTTGAGAACACAATCAGAATCAGAATCATAATCATAATCATTGTTGTCGGGATAATGTGGCCGTATCGAGCGTAAGCCATTTGCAAAACTACACGCAAATTCGTCAATATCCTTCTCCATTACTGGCTTTTTCTTTCTTCTTTAGGGTTTCCTTATTCCTCGTAACTTATCAAGTATATATGTAATTGCTTATACAAGTAGCTGAATTAATTCTGTAGCAGACAAGGCTAAGGTATATATACATGTAATTCTGTAGAAGGCCACAAACTTTTATCCTAATCTTTTTCAGACTTGAATTATGTTTGAAAAATTATAAATTAAAATTACTTTTATCCTAACCTTTTTCGGACTTGAATTATGTTTGAAAAATCCAAAATTTAATATATTATTAGTAGATTTAATATTTTATACATACATTGCATCTTAAATTTTCTATTAATTTTCAGTAATTGTCATTTTCAAAGGATATGAATGAGATAGGATTTGACTGCCACTTCTTGAGAACTCAAATATTTTGACGTTGTTTGCTAATCCTTATTTGACTAGAACTTGAGTTGTCCAGCTTTTACTTTTATATACGAAAACTTACTTGAACTCCAAGTTACTAGAAAATTTAGCAAATTATTAATTGATCTTATATTTTGTATTTTTGCGTGGTTAATTAGGGATGCTAATCTTACCATAAAATTTATAAACGGTTAAATTGAAAATTTTTAGGGTTTGGACTTTGGACCAAAATATTTTAATTATATAAAAAATTAGTTTAATTTGATAAGTCTAATAATCTGAGTCAGGTCACTTAAAGACTAAGGGTAGCGTATTCAATCATGACTTTTGCAGAGTTTTAAAGACTTTCATGAACTTTAAAAGTTTGTAGGTATTCAATTCAAACTTTTAGAGGGTCTTTAAAAGTCAAGTCGTATTCAATCAAGATTTTTAAAGAGTCTAAGTCGTGTGGCATTCGATTAAGACTTTAAAGAGTCTTTAAAAGTCATGTGGTATTCAAAAAGTTATAAGCTTTTGTAGACTTTTTAATTTTAAGACTTTTGTAGACTTTTCCTTCTCAAATATAAATAGCAGTGTTGTAAAAATCCTGCTTGAAATCGGTTAATCGGTGCTTAGGCGCTAGGCGCTGGTCGGCCGCCTAGCATATCACCATTATCGATGGTCTCGGCGCCTGGCTGGCTAGGCGGTCACCTAGACGCTGACCGCCTAGGCCTCTTAGGCACCGACTAAGTTGCCTAGTCGGACGATTAACTATTGTTCCATTCTTTTTAAAATAAGTTATTTCACCCAAAACGACACCGTTTTGAGCGAAATAACCTAAAGTATTCAAATTCTAGATGTTTTTTAGGTTAATATTTAATATTTTAGTATTAACTATTAATGTATTAAATAATTTATAATTATCAAGTCTTAAAAAATGTAAACAAAATGTAAACAAAATTTTTAAAAATAAAAAATAAAATAAAAAATACACGGGCACCTAGGCGCCGATTAATCCCCGCCTAGGCGCTCCTCGAGCGTACGATTTTTTCGGTTAATCGATTGGTTAACCAATTAACCGAACTTTTTTAAGTTAAAATTTAAAATCCTAAAAGGAACACTTAAAATAATAAATTCAATTAAAATAATACATATCATAATAAATAAATTCATAACAAAATATACAAAAACAATACCATAACAACACTATAAACATATTACATTTAAATACTTAATACATTATATATATATATATATATATATATATATATATATATATATATATATATATATCTTAAAAAGTTCGGTTAATTCGGTTAACCGACACTTTCGAATCGAATTAACAGTTAACGGTACTTTGGAAAAACATTTAACTATTAACCGAACCGAAAAAGTTCGATTAAAAAACAACTAACCGAACTTTGTTGAATTGGTTCGGTCAATTAACCGAAAATTATCCCAAATTTGCACACCTCTAAATATAGAATTAGTTTTACGTACGTAGAATGAGAAACCTTATGTATTAAAAGAAAAAAAAAAAAAACAGCCAAATACTTGATAGGTAATATTTTAATGCAATATTATTTTAATAATCTCAAATTATCTGCATCAATTCATCAGACGTCATTAAAATCTTATTTAAGTATCTAGAACATGATGTTTTGTTAAAAAAAAAAAAAAAAGAAAAAAAAAAGAAAAAAAAAAAAGAAACAAACCAAATCTAAGTGTCATTGAAGTTAAATTTATTAAAATTGTACATTATAAATCTAAAAACATAATAAGCCTTAATCAAAGTTACTCTGTATATTACTAATTTATGTCCATGTTTTTAATTTAGTGCTAATCATTTTGTACATTGTGTTTTTAGAATTGTACTATACATTTTCTTTTGTCATTGTACTATGGTGGCATGATCAATTTTGGTCTTTCGTCAACAAAATTGTTGTAATGCCATTAAATACAAAGACATTTTGATTTTTTTTTTTTTGGAATAAGGGTCAAATAGGCCATCGAACTGCACAAAATAATGCAATTAGGCCACTGAACCTAAAAAAGTTACAATTAGATCCCTAAACTAACCATTTTCTTGCAATTAGTCTAATTTATAAGTTTTCTAGGTTGCTAGCAGGTCACCTTTAGTTTAAAATATTTTTAAAAATATTTATTATTTGAAATTAAAAAAAAAAAAAAAAGAGATCAGATCGTCTTCGGCCATGGATTCGTCTCCATGGCCGGAGACGATCTGATCTTTTTTTTTTTTAATTTTATTTTAAATAATTATTTTAAATGATAAATTTTTTAAAAAATATTTTAAATTAAAAGTGACCTGCTAGCAACTTAGAAAACTTACAAATTAGACAAATTGTAAGAAAATAGTTAGTTTAGAGATTTAATTGTACATTTTTTTTAAGTTCAGTGGCCTAATTGCATTATTATGTGCAGTTCGATGGCCTATTTGACCCTTAAATTAGACAAATTGTAAGAAAATGGTTAGTTTAGAGATCTAATTGTACTTTTTTTTTTTAAGTTCAGTGGCATAATTGTATTATTGTGTGTAGTTCGATGGCCTATTTGACCCTTATTCCTTATTATTATTATTTGTTTTTATATACAAACTAGGTTGACCCGCCCACTATATTTTTATGTTTATTTTTTAAGAAAAAAATTCATAATTGAAGACTGAATTGAATGTCCTTATATTTAAGGGCATTTCAACGCTTTTGTTGATGAATGACAAAAAATATCATATTAAAATAATATTAGGACCAAATGAAAATGTTCTTATAAAAAAAGGACTAAAAATGAACTGTCACCAAAAAATCTAGGACCAAAAATGAAATTAACTCTTTTAAAGAGTTCATAATCTTTATTCGAAAGTAGGATTTGAATATGAATGAATCCCTCTTGTAACTATAACGGGTAAAAAAAAAACAATTATAGTGGTATTTAACTTAGACTAAGAAATTATGTTTCTAATATTATGAAAAAGAATTATAAAAGCTGTCCATAAATTTTCTCTTTTTTTTTTTTTTTTCCATTAAAAAACAAAATCATTTTTGCAGTGATATTTTACAAACTCAAATGAATAATGGAATCCTGTTTCAGACTTTCAGGATTCCATTACTTTCATAATGAATGCCTTAAAGAAAATATACCGAGAAACTCCTTTAATTTACCAGAAGCCTAATTAAGAACGAGAACCGTCGGAGCGGCGGCGGCGGCGGCAGCAGAGATCTTGCGACGGCAAAGAGGGCAGGAAGGGCTTCTCTCCAGCCAAGATGAGAGGCAGTCGTCGTGAAAGGAGTAATGGCAGCACGGCATCATAGCCACATCTGTCTCCGGCGTTAACTCCTCCAAGCAAATAACACAGCAACTACAGCCGTACTCTATTCTCTTCCTCTTTAACGACTTCACTATGAAACCGCCATCGGAGGCGGCGGCGGCGCCATTTACTCTCTCCGCTGTCGCTCCGAAATCTCGATCATCCTCGTACGTTTCTTGAACGTCGGAACCTCGCATCTGAACCGACCGTATATCAACCCGAATATTACACTTAATCTGCCTTGCTTTCTCGATCACTTCGTCGGCGATGTCAAGGACGGTGCCGGCGTCAATAGGCTAGTAACACAGCCCTTCGGAGAAGATGAAACTCCGGCAGTAGTCGTCCGACCCATCCGCCAGCACGTCGTGTCTCAGGCATATGGTTCGTGAATCTATCTCGTTTTCTCTATCGTCAATGTCGTCAACTGTGTGGTGAGAGAAGCGGACATGGATGTGAGGCCGAGACGGCGAAGAAGAGGCGGCGCAATTGGACGAAGCATTATCTTCTCTGACTGTGCGATACGGCCACACAGAATAGATTGTGAGATAGTCGGAATAGTCTTCAATATCACTCTCCTCCATTAATTCTTTCTTTTCCTCCTGATCTTTCTTAAATTAGGAGACATTGTTTTGTAATAAATCCTTATTTGACTGGAACTTGACTTGTCCAACTTTTACTTTATGTACGGAAACTTACCTGAATCTCAATTACTATAAATTTTAGCAAAGTATTATTATTATTATTTTTGAATGCTACCGACACTATAACATTGTAGTATCTGTTCAAACATACTTTCTCAACCTAATTTTAACAAATTATTAATTGATCTTATATTTTGTATTTTTGCGTGGTTAATGAGGGATGCTAATCTTAACATAAAACTGATGAACTGCCGATGTTATACCATGGATCATGGTCCACTTTGCAAGGTGGATCCGGGTCTGTTAGGAACACATGTACTAGGATTTTGATGATACCAATGTAACCTAGAAGTAGACCCCTAACTTTTTATCTTTTATTTTGTTACCTTCGTTCTAGACGAAAGATACCATAACTCATCATGTAATTCGTGTTAAGTTAGTCAAACACACGAAACCGAGTTATGATCTCTTCAGTTAGGTTTTGTAGAACGAAAGAAGAGTTTATGAAGCTGACCACGAGAGAATAAATGATCTCCCTCAACCGAAAGCAGAAGACGAAAGAAGTCTCCTGGTCTAGAGACTATTTTCTTTAAGATGTGCCTGTCAAGACGATTCATCTTCTCTCAGCTCAAGAAGAATGTTGTCAATTGTCCCATCTGGAGATCATCCTTGGAATTAATCTTTCCTAAGAATGAGAGCACATTTATCAAGATGCAATAAATGTCATAGTACTACTTTTCAGAGCTAGAAGACAAAATAAGCAATGGTGCTTATCTCCAACGACTATGTAGTACAGCTGCATTTAATGAAGCAATAAATGCACAAGGCTCTCCGGTCTTTACCCACTGGATCATAGGTTTGAAATGCCATCTCCCTCCAACGGATGGATTTCTTCTCACTTATAAATACCCATCTTCTTAATAATAGAAGTTGCTGGTTTTTAGAACAATTGAATACTTTCTCTCAAAAGCTCCTTATACAAGTTCACTCTCTCAAGCTTTTGAAATCCAGTGATTCAAGGTGTGAAATTTGAAGAAGACGCATCTGATCTCATTCACACAACCTTGAAGAAGTCTTGCAATTTTGTATACACTGATCACCAATCAAACCACCAGCCAGTCAAGACTTCATTGTGTTGGAGAAACTCAAGATTATCCACATCCAACCCTCAACTCTGAAGAAGACGTTGATAGAGGCGGAGTAAACTCTAGGAGTTGAAAAACCTTCAAGTAGCTGTCCGGCTTAGTGATCAAGGAAGCTATCTTGGTGTAATTTGTACTAGGAGTGATAGTGCAAACCTTTCACAAGTTGTGAAAGAAGAGTGGAGTAGGCACAGTTGGCCGAACCACTATAAAAATCTCTTGTCTCTATCTCTTTACATTTCAGCACTTTACTTTCGTGCATTGCATAACACGCGACCTTAACCGAAAGTTTTCTAAAAAATCAAACAATGCAAAGCAACCTTAAAATTTGTATTACATATCCGCTGCGTAATAACCTCGAAAGGAGTTATTTTCGTGAAAAACGAATTGAGTCTATTCACCCCCCCCCCCCTCCCCCTCTAGACTCTCCTTTCGACCCTACCAGGACCAACAAGTGGTATCAGAGTAGTTACCTTGAATGGTAAAAGCTTTGCCTTTACTGCCTTGTAGATCCCTTCTCTTAAAATCTTAAAATCTGCATCTTTTCATCTTTGCACTAATTTTTCGAGAAGAAAATGGAAAAGGATCATTCTAACCGATCTAGGCCTCTTGCCTTCAATCTCTCAAAATTTGATGACTGGAAAGTGAGAATGCAGGCGCATCTGTCGGCCATTCATGATGAAATGTGGGATGTGATAACCACAGGACCTATCACTGTTATGCTGGTGAACACTCAAGCTGCTGCACAAGGAGATGGTGCAGAACCCATGATACCAAAACCAAAGGCTCAACTCAACTCTAATGAGAAAACGCGTGCTAACTTGGACAACGTTGCTCGTGATATCCTCTACAAATCTCTGGACGATTCCCTATTCCTGAAAGTTCGTAAATGCACAACAGCAATGGAAATTTGGAACGTTCTCATGAATTTGGGAGAAGGGGATGAGCAGGAGAAAGACAACAAACTTACAGTAGCCATGAAAAAGTTTGAAGACTTCAAGATGTTGCCCAATGAAGCTATCACCTACATGGAGCTTAGGTTCACGAAGCTTCTGGGTGATCTCTCAGATCTCGGAAAAGAGCTTACTGAAAAAGAGAAGAACTTGAAGATTCTTCGAGGCCTCCCGAAATCATGGGACATGAAGGTCACTGCAATGAGAGATCATCGTGACATGAAAACCACCAGCACAAACAAAATCTTTAGTGATCTGAAAGTTTATGAGTTCGAGCACGAACCAAAGGAATTGGAAGAACCCGAAATCAGAAATGTAGCCTTGATGGCCAATCAACAAGCATCGACGTCGAATAGGTCAACTTCTAACTCTTGCAATTTTTTATCTGACGAACAATATGCTTTGTTTGTAAGAAAAATGAAAAGGTTTATGCGGAAGAACAACTTTCAAGACTTCCAAAGACCATCAAGCCGAAGGCAACATGAAAGATCTCCACTTCCACCGAGACAAGAATCAACTGATTCCCAAATGCTGTGCTACAACTGCCGAAAGCCTGGACACTTCAAGGCAAACTGTCCACATCCAATGGTCAGCAAACATCAGGACCATGGCGTGATGAAAAGCACATCAAAAGAAAGCAGCGAGTTCACCAAACGAAATGACAAACAAGAGTCATCGAACTCAAGAAACGAGAGAAGAAGAAAAGCAATGGTCGTAAATGAAACAACCGAAAACATTGAATCCAAGAGCAGTTCCTCAAGTTCAAGTTCAGATGATGACAGTGCTGAAGAAGAAAAGGGGCTGCTGTGTTTGTTCAGTGAGAAAGAAGAATCGAATGAAATGTGTCTCATGGCACAGGATGAAGAGGTAGACTCTCAATCCTCCTCCTTCCTTTCATTAGAAATCGGCTCAACAAGTGATCAAAACTCCAATGAATCAGTCAGTGATATGATGAGGAGATTTGCAATCATAAACAGCACATACTCAGAACTAAAAGAGGAGAACTCTCGACTATTGATCAGCCACAATGAGCTAAGGCGAGTTCGAATAGAGAACATAAAGCTAGCCATTGTAAAGAATCAGCTCGAAAATCAAGTTCTATCTCTCAAAGAGCACTGCACAGAAAGAGAGAAGCGGGAGCAACATTTGCGTGAGGTTCTTGACTCATTTAATAATTCGTCCAATCTAATGGACTGAATGGTAAATGGATCAAAATCGTCTGGGGAAAGAACCGGAATTGGTTATGACATCGGCTCCTCTTCACATGTCACCTTAAACAAACCCACAAATGCATATACCCATGAAAGTTTTATATCTGCTTTTGTTCAAGGTCCCACTCAAGTATCTGAGCCAGTGACCAAGATTAACAATGGTGAAACACCACAATCAACAAGCCAACCTAAGGGAACGGCTGTACAATGAATTGTGGAACCGAGAAATGATAATTCCTTGAAAGGCAATCCTAGGCACAAAAATGCCAAACGGAATGGACCAAAAGACAACAGATTTAATCTATATCAAAAGAAGGGTTAGCCTACAAGGAACAATCAATCAAGGACAAAACCAAACGTTAATCAGAGGCAAAATCGTTCTAAGTATACACGAAGTGAACATATCAAACATGCTGAGAGGTCAGTTAGAAGACCGAGGACAGGCAATGGATGGAGTGGACCAACTAAGGAAGATTGGTTTGATTATCCCGAATCTTTATCAAAAATGCAATTTGACAAAATACATCGGCACAAACAAACCAATTACTCCAAGCAGTATCATAATCGACCTGTTGATTATTTTCAAGAACGATATAAGAACAAAACCTTTTCAAAAATCTTTTATGATTACCGCGTCTTCAACGGGTACAAAGGACCGAGAATGAGTAAAGGTTACTCTAGGTTCGCTTGGATCCCAAAGTTAACCTCTAACCCCGAAGGACCCGCAACCGAAGGGGTACCTAAGATAGCGGATGCTCAAGACATATGACTGGTGACAAAACAATTTTGAGCAACTTTAAGGAAATCGACGGTCCGAAAGTGATCTTTGGAGGAGAAACCAGTGGCAAAACTCATGGGATAGGGGATGTGATAAAAAATGGCATAACAATTCAAAATGTCTCATATGTAGAAGGACTGAAATTCAATCTACTGAGCACAAGTCAGTTTTGCGATAAAGGATACAACGTCGAATTCTCCAAAGAAAAATGCAACATTATCAGCACAAGAGATGGCGAAACTGTTCTCTCAGCAAAACGAAAGAAAAACGTGTATGTTATCACTTGGAACTCATTTAATGATAATGTTTGTCTTGTGGCTAAAAGTAATGCAGATCTAAGTTGGGAATGACACAACAAGCTAAGTCACTTGAATATAAAGACCATCAACAAACTTGCGAAGAAAAACCTAGTAGAAGGTTTACCGAAAGCAACATACATTAAAGAAAAAATCTGTGAAGCTTGTGAAAAAAGGAAAGAAAATCAAATCATCCTTTAAGTCCAAAGAGTCAGACATGAACTCTCGCCCGTTGAGCTTGCTACATATGGACTTATTTGGACCAGTAGACCCTGCAAGTCTAAGTGGACGAAAATACACTCTGGTCGTAGTATATGACCACACGAAGTATACTTGGGCACTGTTCCTAAAAAGGAAAAACGAAACAGAAATTGTCTTACCTAATCTCCTAAGACAGCTCCAAACCGAAAAGGAAGTCAACATTATAAGGATCAGATCAGATAAGGGAACCAAATTTGTAAACAAATTCATCAAGGATTTCTGTGGACAAAATGGTATATTTCACCAACTCTCGGCAGCAAGAACTCCACAACAAAATGGTGTTGCCGAAAGGAGAAACAGAACCTTGAAAGAAGCAGCACGAACAATGATCGCACATTCGGGCTTGCCTAAGCGTTTTTGGGCCGAAGCCATAAATACAGCTTGCCACACACAAAATCGATCCTTGATCAACAAAGCTCACAACCTCACTCCATATGAATTATGGAAAGGTAAGAAACCTGTTATTAGTTATTTTCACATCTTTGGTTGCAGGTGTTTCATTCATAACAACGGGAAGACTCATCTGAGAGCTTTTGACGAAAGAGCTGATGAAGGACTGTTCATGGGATATTCTTCTGTTAGCAAAGCCTACAATGTCCTTAATAAAAGAACGATGGTCATAGAAGAATCTATACATGTTAAATATGATGAACAAGCCGAGAAAATCCCTGTTGGGATGAATAAATCAATTGTTCAAGACCCAATCTCTCAGGAAAAAGTAACAATTGATGAAGAAGACTCAGATCGTGAAGATCATATTCCATCATACACAAGATACCAATCGAAGTCTACACATCCCGAATGTATAGCTCAAACTGATGAAGCAACACAAGTCATTGACGCAAATACTCAATCTACCTCAGAACCAATGATATACATTGATCTGCCTTACATTCCTGAAATGGACGGTCAACATCAACAACCATCATTTGAACCAGATCTTAGATGGCTAAGAGATCATCCACCCGATCAAGTCATTGGAGACCTACAAGAAGGAGTAAGAACTAGAACTTCTTTACACGAAAATATGATGGCTTGCTTTCTATCACAAATGGAACCAAAATCCATTGAAGAAGCCTTAAGTGATCCAGATTGGGTTATAGCCATGCAAGAAGAACTTCATCAATTTGAACGAAACGATGTATGGGAACTTGTTCCGAGACCTACGCACCAAAATGTCATTGGAACCAAATGGGTAGTCAGAAATAAAATGAGTGAAGATGGTCTCATTGTTAGGAACAAAGCTCGACTTGTTGCCAAAGGCTATTGTCAAGAAGAAGGTATTGATTTTGATGAAACCTTCGCCCCAGTGGCTAGGCTTGAAGCAATACGAATGTTCCTAGCCTATGCAGCATATAAAGACTTCAAAGTCTACCAAATGGATGTTAAAAGTGCGTTCTTAAACGGACTCCTTGAAGAAGAAGTGTATGTAGAACAACCACCTGGTTTCGCTATTGATTGCGGACAAGAAAAAGTTTATCATCTCAAAAAGGCCTTATATGGAATAAAGCAAGCTCCACGAGCTTGGTATGATACTCTTTCATACTTTCTCATAAACTGTGGTTTCACGAAAGGAGCTGTTGATAAAACACTCTTTCGGATCAAAGATAATGATCATGTATTGTTGGTCCAAATCTATGTTGACGATATCATCTTTGGAAGCACTAATCCAGATCTATGTGAAAAATTCTCTAATCTCATGCAAGGAAAATTTGAAATGAGCATGATGGGAGAATTGAACTACTTTCTTGGCTTGCAAGTCAAACAATGCCCCGAAGGGATATTTATTAATCAAGCCAAATATACAAAGGACTTGATTCGAAAATTTGGAATTGATGGAAAGTCCTCTGTCAAAATTCCCATGAGTACATCCTTGAGAATGGATATTGATAACGAAGGGAAAGACGTCGATCAAAAGAACTTCCGTGGAATCATTGGATCCCTTCTATACCTCACAGCAAATAGACCTGATATTTCTTTTGTTGTTGGGGTATGTGCAAGGTTTCAATCTAAACCTAAAGGGAGTCATCTAAGTGCTGCCAAAAAAGATTTTAAGATACCTAAAGGGAACCCAAAGTGTAGGACTTTGGTACCCGAAAGGAAACTCTTTTGATCTTGTTGGTTATTCAGATGCTGGCTTTGCTGGCTGTAGAATTGATCGAAAAAGCACCTCAGGAACCTGCCAGTTCCTAGGGGGAAGACTTATATCTTGGTTTAGCAAAAAGCAAAACTCAATTGCAACTAGCACAGCTGAAGCCGAATACATTGCAGCTAGTAGTTGTTGTGCACAAATCTTGTGGATGACTCACCAATTAAAAGATTATGGTGTAATAGCTCGAGAAGTGCAAATAAAGTGCGACAATACAAGTGCAATAGCCATTACACACAACCCAGTGTTGCATTCTAGAACAAAGCACATTGACATTAAGTATCACTTCATCCGTGATCATGTTGAAAGAAAAAACATATCTCTTGAATATGTTAATACTGATGATCAATTGACAGATATTCTCACTAAACCACTTTGTGAAAATAGATTTGCCACACTCTGCCACGAAATTGGAATGATTGAAATGACCTAACAAGTTGGCGTGTTAATGGGCTCATAACTCAGAGATTCCTGAAAGATTCCCAAAAGGAGATTTGGTACCTCAATCCAAAATCTCTTGAACACATCTTCACGCAACCTTTGTGCTTATAAATTAGTTCCTCCTTCAACGAAAGCTACTTACACTAACCTATTAACATATCTTAGTGTTTTAGTAAGTGTTGTTTACAGGTATGAATCAGAACAAAGGCAAAGGAAAAATGGACGAAGCAGAAAAATGAGCAATTCGGCTAAACCATCATCTCACGGAGGCAAGCAAACTCACCAACGCGACAATCATAAAACTGGAAGAAGATGGTGAAAGGGTGAATGTCACATACTCTATGCCAAGCTCAATCAACAAGGAAGACAAAGAAAGTCTAGACAACATCGTCATGGAATCCCAAGCTAAGAGAGCCTTCCACCAGGAACAAGCTAGAAAATTAGCACACGAAAGGATAATGATTCTGAAAAGTGCACATCAGCGCACATCTAATCCACCCACCTTTCGTTGGTATCCCATTCCTGAGATTCCTCAAAAGAATGAAAAATCTCATGAAGACTTTTCTCATATTCACTCTCAGTCATCAAGCAAATCGCCTGAGCTCACCCTCTCTCTTGAGGAACTGGACGAGTATGCAAAGTGGCCAGCGTGTCTGATGTAACTAATGAATCAACTCGTCTGGAACTTCACATGCCTTATCTCTTTCTCTGAAAACGAATCTTTTATGATTATTGCTCCTGTAAGGCATGGTTACCTGCTCTCTGGTTTCATTAAATAAAGTTTCATGTCAGTAATGATTATCATCTCGACCAAACTCTTAAGATGCCGAATCTTTATTATTCTGGTCAAAGATAAATTAAATGCTGAACATGACATTTCAAAAAAGTTTCAATCTTAAAATTGAAAGCTGTGCGGAATCTCATAGTCGTGTAAGTGATGATGCCAATAAGTTCACGGGAATAAATGTTTCGGAACTTGTTGTCTTGTGTATAAAAGACACGACGCACTTGATATTCATCCAAGTAATCTGGACCTCATTGAAAACAATGCAAATGCATTAAATTGTCCCATCATGTTCTGAATATAAAAGGAGGATATTAGCTGAGTCTAATTATCAACTTCTAAAGATCTGTCTAAAATGGCACCTCGTAAGCCCATCACCAGAGACACAACAAGGAGAATCGCAGAAAGGGTTCGTCTTGAGCGTGAAGAACAAGGTGATCTTTATCCTGGAAATAGCATGCAAGCCCCCTTGAACATATCTTCAGACTCAGATCTCGGGCACTACGATGGATTCATCACATATGAATCCGATGAAGAATCTTCAAAGACAGAGCCGAACGAGGAACTTCCTCTTATCGTCAGACTGGGTTTCTTATCTGAAAAATCTTGGAATGACCCGGCCATGGACAAGGATCTTCGCGAATTCCTCAGAACATATGACTGCAAAACTGAACTCATTGGATATCCAGATGTAGATCATCTTCTTGCTGAAACAGAATCCTCTGTTGGATCATCCCGTCCTGACTATTCAATTCTCAAGATGAAAAACAAACAAGAAAAGGGGGAACCAAGTAACACGAAGAAAGGAAAAGAGAAGAAGTAGAATCTTCTTGAAACATTTTAAGATGTATCGTGTGTCCTTTCTCGTCTTGAAATAAAATGTGGCTTATTATGGGTTAATCTCTAACTTACAGAGAGATAAATCTTTATTTGATTTATTTTATCTATTTGAGTATTACATCATGACTGTTGCACAAAAATTCCTATGTCTGTTATATCTCCCTCACGGTCTTCATTAAATTACGCGCTAATAGTCATAGCCGTAATAAATGGTTCAAAGAATAACGCACAAATATTGAATGGTCATTCAATGCTCACAATTCCCAATGCTAAGCATCAGCTATAAAAGGAGGTGAGTTGTTAACACAAATCTCACACAAAGAAGCTGCTCACAAGTTAAGAGAGGAACAAGGAGACTTCTATCCAGGAAACAGTGAGTATGCTCCTCTTGACCTATCATCTGATGATGATCAACCAAAAAAGGATGATGCACCTCTCATCTCTGAAGATGAAGAGAATCCCATTGCTGATCTTCATGAAGCTCCACCACCTATTGAAGGAAGACGAGATTTTCCTACTACTGAAGATTGGAAAAATCCGCTTGCAGACCGAGATTATCTCATGTATTTGAGCACAAATGCCAGTGAATCTGACTCTGGTAGCGAGGCTAAGGCAAAAACCACTCCCTCTGGATCTAAGACTGTCAAAACCGCAAAATGATTTCAAAAGGGAGTTAGGCAAAATGATGTCAATGAGAGGAGTGGAAAGCAAGGATGTGAAGGGAAAGGAGAAGAAGTGATGCTAAAGGAAAGGAGAAGAAATGAATATGTACTCTTTTCTGATGTTTCTCTCTAGTTATAAAGAATAAACATCCTTCGTGTCTAACTAACGAAACTTTATTAGTTTCGCCCTCTTGTTAACACGAAATGATAAGCTTTAAGAGAAGTAGATCTTTATTTGATTTACTTTATCTTTCAAAAATGCCTTGTCACATCTTTCGTCAGGAATCTTCCGAAACGTTGGAACTCAAAATCTTTTTGTGTTTAGTCTTTCACACAGGGCATATATGGTATACCTCGGTATGAACAAGAATGCTTGGCTATAAAAGGACGCCTCTTATATTGATATGATCACACCACTTCTTAACAATGGATAAAGGCAAGAAAACGATTTCATCTACTGTCTCCTTGCCGAAGAAGGATCTGAAAGAGGTTCAAGAGATGTTCAAATCTCTTAGCCTATCATCTCAGCATGGAGAAAGCTCGCATGATTCGGTTGCTAAGAAGCTTCCTTCGACTCTTCTCCAGAATGTTCATCCTCCACTCGGCCCATCATCTCCTACGATGCGTGCTTTCAAAACTGATCCATCTTATCTGAAGTGGAAGGACCTCTGTGAAGAGGAAATGCAAGAGCTTGAGGAACAGCTGAGAAAGAGGGTGAAAAGAACTTAAGGAGTATTTCTATCTCGTGTAAACCGAGAGATGAATGTAATATCTATCATCCATGTTCATTTGTGTAATAACTCATCTCTGTGTTCCGTGTGTGCCCCCTTGTTTTTTTTTTAATGCATCTATGGTTATAAATTTCGTCATCTTGAAAACTATCTCTCACCCAAGAGTTAAGCAAGTTGGTCATATCTGAATTCAAATCAGATCACACGTCTTGGCGGTTACTTGGGTTTGAGGAATTTCACCCTAACCGTTAGATCAAATTGATAATGGTGATCGTGTGGCCACAAATCTCGGTCCACTAACCCATGCTCCTATGTCAGTTGATGCGACGCGCATTTAATGGAGGTGTTTAGTACTCGAGTACCTTTCTCTCTCCTATTTAATGCGGAATGACCAAAATTGATCTGATACTGGGCCTATCAGATATACCCGCCGTATCAGTTTTCCTGATTGGTCGAATAAGAGAAGACAAACCTATTCATCTTCAAGAAAAAAGGTCGGGTCAACTATTAGAATTTCTTGGCCCATTAGAAAACTTTTGCAACATCCATTCCTATAAAACCTAAATCATCATCTTCCCTCCCACTTTTCCAAAACTTCCTCAACAATTCAAGTTTGAAAATCTCTCAGAAACTCTCCAAGTCTCAAAATCTCTCAGAAACCTTCTTCCCAAGATTTAAAACTCAGTTTACTCATATTCATATCTCTGAAGTCATGGTAAAATCATCCAAGATACCTACCTCCGATGCTGAACAGGAAACACCCTCTACAATGGTGGTACTAAGCTTTCCAACATCCGACATTAACTTCATAGAATACAGAGTACCACTCATCATTGGTGGCAGCATGTGGGATGTTCATGGATTTCTGGAATATGTTCTTGACCGCTCTTTTGGAGAAAAAGTGATCAATCTTCTCAAGGAAAGTGGTTTGTATACTTTTGTTACTCATTTATATACATACTGGTTTCCAGTAGATGTCGCTCAGTTTTACCTGAACGCAAGTGTTTCTGCTGATGGATCGGAAATTACCTCCGAGGTAAATCGCACCGTCGTAGCCCTAACCGTCGACGATTTCAAGAAAGCCATTTCCTTTCCAGACCGAGACGAAACCTACCATCCCGATCTCTCTAGCTACTACTATGAGTAAAATGCCTTCTATGACATGATCAAGAACAAGCAGGGACCGTCAAGTGCCAAGTTAACCTGGCCTCTAAAGAAGAAATGGCTACGTATGGATTACGAGTTTACAGTTGACATTTTCATCACACATGGTCGTACTTCACCAGGGGATATTACCAAGAAGATAGGCTTCGGTTTTCTAGTCAGTCATCTTCTCGCCACAAAGAAGATTCCTCTACGCGCAGGAGTTTCGCCTGGGCGAAAAGTATGTCACATGAAATCAAAGCCTAGTGGATATGACAAACAGAAAGCCTTGGAGCTTGGCTTGCCGTTGGACTCAGTGAAAAAGGTGAGAAAGTCCAAACGAACTAAAGAAACAGATGATGATGTGCCCAAGGCCAAGAGATCAAGAAAGAACAAAAGTTCTTCTGCACTCGAAATAGAAGAATCATCTGCAGCTCAACCCGAAGTATTGCCGAAAGTTACTGACACAGCTCAACCCATCCTTGAGATGAAATCCCCCTCATCAATTCAACCTGTCTCTGCACCCACAGAACCGGAAGCAATCACAAAAGAAGTCTCTCAAAAGACTCCACAAATTTCATCAACCGAACCCGTCATAATTGTTGATTCCTCCGAAGAAGAGGACGTTGCCTTCTCTAGTCCTGTGAAGACCTCAAAAAGCCACTTTCGGCCTACCATTGCCAAAGAAAACGAAATCATGGCGAAAATGGCTCCCCCTCCTGAGTCAATATTACCATCTAAACTGAAGAAGAAGCTTGCATCTTCTTAGGGGGAAGAAATGAAAAGAAAGATCTCCAAGAAGAGAAAGAACCGATCAAAGAGCTCTGAAAGTTTGAAGAAATCCTCCTTACCACAAGAACCCATCCAGGCAGAGCAACTCAACACGAGCTTGACACAAGAACCTGCTGCGATGGAGAAGGGTGCTCAAGGATCTCGAGCTCTGGATGACCACTTAAGTCTCCCACATGAACCTGGCGTGCCAGAAGAGATGAGAGAAGTGGTCACTGAACCGAATGTTGAAACAACCCTCCCACAAGAACCTACCCGAACAGAGCAGATGGCTCCTATTCTGACACAAGAACCTGTCAGGGTAGACGAGGATGAAATTGCACCACATCCTTCGAGTCACTTAAGTTTCCCACAAGAACCTGGTCAGCCAGCTGAGACGAGAGAAGTGACTCCTCCAATTAAATCGAATCCGAAAGAAGATCTACCCGAGCCTGAAGTCTTACAAGAATCGGTCATACCCGAGAACTCTCAAGCGATTGTATCTGTACCCGAAGCTGTCCCAATTCCCCCATCAAAAGATCAAATGCTTCGAGAATCCATTGAGAACAACTTCAACAGGGTCATGCAAAGGCAGAAATGGCGAACTTCTCCATTACAAACTTTTCTTGAAACGTTTGAAGAGATGAAGGATGAAGAAGAGTTTGCTCTAGAGTGGATCGGCACCAAAGACGTTTATGAAGCGCTGCGTCTTGAAACCATCAAACGTGTGTACTCCTACAAAGTGACCCATCGCACTCTCGGGAAAGAAAAAGTGCCCATTTACATTGAGCTAAACAAGCCGCCATTGGATCCAGCCTTCGTGGAAGAAATGAAAGAATTTCGATATGCTCTCTTCCTCTCAAAAGTCAAGACAGAGTTAGAACGAACTCATCAGAACGATCCAGCATGCAATGTCAGTGGACTAAAAGATGACGAAGGAAAGGAGATTGAACATGAAGACGAAAGCACATCCGAAAACGAGACCAGTGAAGCAAACTCTGATTCAGACAATGGCACTGATGAAAATCCTGAAAATGAAGAAGATGATGAAGATGAAGATGAAAAATCAGGTGATGAGCAGGATGACTCTCATGGCGATGGTGGAGATGATGATGATGATGATGAAGGAAAAGCTGATAACAATAATCTTGGTGATGATGGTTCAGATGACGATGATAATGATGATGGCAATTCAGATTATGATAGTGAATCTCCTATCATAGGCAACACCGAAGATATACCTGAACGATCACCTGCCCCTAGCTCATCCCCACCAAAGGAATGCCCAACTCGTGAGTTACCTCTCGCCATGCTACCTCCTCTCCCAGATACAGCTCGTGATGACAACATGGATGCATCACCGCGTGATGAAAATCGGGAAGCATCACGTCATGCGCTTGACCAAGAGCCTGGCATGGACTACCTTAGTCCCGAGCACATCATGCACCAAATGCTAAATACAGTCTTCAATGCTGAACTCATTCATAAGCAATATCTGCATCACAGAGAAAAAGATAGCCGAAACATAGCAGATCTATCTGCCAAAGTCGACCGCATGATGCAAACAATGTCTCGTCCACAACCCAACACCTCAATTCCGGATACTCAAGATAGGCTTGCACACGAACTCAGTCAACAACGAGCTATCCTTGACAAAATTGCTAAGGAACAACATGCTCTTAAACTTGCTCACTTCGGTCTCAAAGAATGAGTGGATCTTGCTTGTACAAAGATAGATCTCGGGCATGACAACATGTTTCAAATGGCTGAATATCAACTCACTATGCTTGAGTACGTCAAGGATGTTCTTATTGCAGTTCAAAGTCTGACCGATTTTTTTGACACCCCGTGTGATGATGCCAAAAAGGGTGAAAAGGACAGAAAGGATGATGACAAGGATGAAGACAAAAACAGATCCCCCCCTAGAAGAAACAATGAAGGACCAACAAGACATGAAGAGAGGAGAAGCTCACCAAGACACGAAGAAAGAAGAAACACGAGATCATCACCTTCAGGATCTAGATCTCGACAACAATACTCTTCTAGACCCAGACAGCATTCCATCAAGCCTCGCCAATCCTTCGGATCCACCACTGAGTTCTCATTTTCCGGGAAAACAAGCAGAGAGAAAAAGAACCTTCGCCAAAGGCTAATACGCAAGGATACTATAACCATGGATGCCATAGGAAATTTCCACATGTACCAACCATATGAAGAAGGAAGTGGAAAACGGTTTGAAGGGTACAACATACCTGTGTGGATGAAGAAGAGAGATAATTACTTCAGGCAAGTTCATCAGACTCAAAGAAATGAAGAGATCAAGAAAGCAAATCGTGAACTTTGGAACAAGCAAGAAGAAGCGAGACTTGCCAGAGAAAAGGAACTGGCCAAAAGAGAAAGAATCAAAGAAGAGATAAGGGATGTCACGAAAGTCAACAGAAATGCTGAGCCTGGAGTCAAATATAATGCTGCCTTCAAAATTCACAAAGAATCTAGAAAGAGCTACACCGAAGGAATGCACTCATTTGAACTTATTACATGGTGGAATCTCGGCATAATTGAAGGAGAAAACATCCTCGAAGCATACAACAATTACGTGAGCATCAACATCAAAGGAGAATATGAAGATATTGTCAGAGAAAGCTGAATCCAAAAATACAGAGAGCATATCAACCGATACATCGACATGAAAAGGATGCTCAAGAAACAGAAAGAGAGAGATGACAAAGAAAGAGAAGAAGCTCAGACACAGAAGGTGAAACTTTTAGAAATGTAAAAGTTTCTCTTCGACAGTTTCAGTGACATTACTTTGTAAGTGTTATTTGATCTTTATAAATGTCACTTTTGATTCAATCTATCGTGTCCTTATCTAAGTTATCAGCTTTGATTACTTGTATCGATCTACACTTATTAGAAACCATACGTAAACTCTTCTGTATGGTTGTTTTGGAATGAAAAATCCTTTATGTGATATTTATCGGCCTTATAAGCAGAGTATAGGTTTTGGCATCATCAAAAAGGGGGAAATTGTTAGGAACATATGTACTAGGATTTTGATGATACCAATGTAACCTAGAAGTATACCCCTAACTTTTTATCGTTTATTCTGTTACCTTCGTTCTAGACGAAAGGTACCATAACTCATCATGTAATTCGTGTTAAGTTAGTCAAACACACGGAACCGAGTTATGATATCTTCAGTTAGGTTTTGTAGAACGAAAGAAGAGTTTATGAAGCTGACCACGAAAGAATAAATGATCTCCCTCAATCGAAAGCAGAAGGCGAAAGAAGTCTCCTGGTCTAAAGACTATTTTCTTTAAGATGTGCCTGTCAAGACAATTCATCTTCTCTCAGCTCAAGAAGAATGTTGTCAATTTTCCCATCTGGAGATCATCCTTGGAATTAATCTTTCCTAAGAATGAGAGCACATTTATCAAGATGTAATAAATGTCATAATACTACATTTCAGAGCTAGAAGACAAAACAAGCAAAGGTGCTTATCTCCAACGACTATGTAGTACATCTGCATTTAATGAAGCAATAAATGCACAAGGCTCTCCGGTCTTTACCCACTGGATCATAGGTTTGAAATGCCATCTCCCTCCAACGGATGGATTTCTTCTCACCTATAAATACCCATCTTCTTAATGATAGAAGTTGCTGGTTTTTAGAACAATTGAATACTTTCTCTCAAAAGCTCCTTATACAAGTTCACTCTCTCAAGCTTTTGAAATCCAGTGATTCAAGGTGTGAAATTTGAAGAAGACGCATCTGATTTCATTCACACAACCTTGAAGAAGTCTTGCAATTTTGTATACACTGATCACCAATCAAACCACCAGCCAGTCAAGACTTCATTGTGTTGGAGAAACTCAAGATTATCCACATCCAACCCTCAACTCTGAAGAAGACGTTGATAGAGGCGGAGTAAACTCTAGGAGTTGAAAAACCTTCAAGTAGCTGTCCGGCTTAGTGATCAAGGAAGCTATCTTGGTGTAATTTGTACTAGGAGTGATAGTGCAAACCTTTCACAAGTTGTGAAAGAAGAGTGGAGTAGGCACAGTTGGCCGAACCACTATAAAAATCTCTTGGCTCTATCTCTTTACATTTCAACACTTTATTTTCGTGCATTGCATAACACGCGACCTTAACCGAAAGTTTTCTAAAAAATCAAACAGTGCAAAGCAACCTTAAAATTTGTATTACATATCCGCTGCGTAATAACCCCGAAAGGAGTTATTTTCGTGAAAAACGAATTGAGTCTATTCACCCCCCCCCCCCCCTCTTGACTCTCCTTTCGACCCTACACGGACCAACAGGGTCTAAAATACATCATTTACATATTAAATATTCACAATTTATATATTGAATGTTCACAAGTTATATACTTAATATTCACAATTTATCATTTACAAAATTGTTTTTTTTTTTTTTTTGATTTGACGAGAGGGGATTACCCAAAAGAATTAGCTTCCGCCATTTCTTCTCCGCAGACCTTGATGAGGTCGTCTATTTGAAACCTCTCCGGTCTGGTCCTTATGAAACACGTACAGAACATCATGTGGAGGTTCCTCCAAAATGCGTTCTCCGAAGCTATGTGCAATGGCGTCCGATGCCAAGCGATCTGCCAACTTGTTCTGTTCTTTGTAAACGTGCGCATAAACCACCTCACTAAAATTCTCGGCCTCCATGTCGCATCTTCGTATAATGTTGCATCTTTGGCCTTGCCCCTCTGTTTCCATTTGGAGCCTCTCCACCGTGCTCTTGGAGTCACATTCAACAATGATGTTTGTCGCACCATATTCCCTCGCCATGCGTAAACCTTGAAGAACTGCCCAAGCCTCCGCATCGTCCACTGAACATCTGCCAATATTATGTGTGAAACCCCTACACCAGGTTCCATGCATATCCCGGAGAACGCCGCCGCAGCCCGCCACGTTGTTCCTTTTACAGCATCCATCCACGTTGAACTTTAGGACACCATTTACTGGCTTCCTCCACACAACCTGGGCATTCGCGATCGACGTAGCAGCCCTCGAAGGTCCTCTGTGTTTCGCAAAAGCCCTTGCAACTTCGGTTTCGTACCTTGCCAGCCACTCAAGCTTATGCTCCAGCGGCATCGACTTATTGTTGAACACCACGTCGTTCCTCCAGCGCCACATCCACCAAAGCGTGATTCCAAAATGTTCCGGCCACCCCTGCGCGAAACCTTTCTGTTTATCCCCGTGTAGATTCACCGAGAGCCATTCCTTCCAATTCAGATTTGATGTTGCGTTCATCATTCGTCTGCTTAACACCGATTCCCAGACATCTCGCGCTGCCAGACACGTCCTGAAAAGATGGTCGAGATCTTCCCGTTGCCCTGCGCATTGAAAACAAGAGGCATTAGGTGTAAGTTTTCGTTTTACCAGCTCATGGATCGTCAAGATCTTCTCATGCTTCACCATCCAGATAAACATGGCTATCCTAGCTGGCACTCGTAGGCTCCAAATGGTGCTCCACTCCTCCTCCGTGTTGTTGCCTTCGGTTGTGATCAGGTTATATGCTGACTTCACCGAAAAGCCGCCCTTCGCCTCATGTCTCCATCCCACACCATCACACCTGTTAGCATCAGACAAAACGAAACTTGTCAGTCTAGCAATAGTCTCCGGTGGCAAAGTGTGCTCGAGTTTTTCCAACTTCCATCCCCGAACATCATCCCAGTAATCAGCCACAAAAGCATACAAATCAGGGAGGCTTAAGGGGGTCAGCAACTGATCATAGAGAGGTCCGTCGATGAGCCACACATCCATCTAGAATCTCGTGGTTTTCCCATTATGAATGATGGAACTTAAACCTTTCTCCATAAAAGGTTCTGCAGCACATATACCGCGCCAAACATTGGAAATATTCCTTCTGCCCGGCTGATCCGATTGGGAGGGTCCAATCCTTTTGTATTTTGTCGTTGGTGTCTGAGCCCACATGCTTTGCCTCTCTGTCCTGAGTCTCCATCCTAACTTTGCCATGCAGGCCAAGTTCATGTCATGAAGTCTTCTTAGACCTAGACCGCCCGCATTTTTGGCCGAAGTAACCAGGTCCCATTTAACGAGACTCATTTTGTTTCCCCCATTCGATCCATTGCTTCCCCAAACGAACCGCCTGGTTCTTTTTTTCAATTTTGGCACATAAACCTTTTAGAAATGCAGCAGTTTGCATAATATAAACTGGGATGGCATTTAGGACCGATTTGGCCAAAACTACTCTCCCAGCTAGGGAAAGAGTTTTTGCTTTCCACCCCTCCATTCGCGCTGACACCCTCTCAAGGAGGTTTGAATATGTTTTGCAGGTTACACGCCCATGTAAAGTCGGCACTCCAAGGTATCTCCCTAAATCATTAGTCCTGTCTATCCCAAGACGATTTGCAATCTCTTCTGCACACCTTGGATCCGTATTCTTCGAGAAATGAACCTGAGACTTGTTTAGGCTTATTTTTTGTCCGGAGTCACAACAAAACCTGTCTAGGCAGCTTCTCACCACCTCCACTTGGTCCACAGAGGCTTCTGTGAACAACACAATGTCATCTGCAAAACACAAATGAGATAGAGTAGGTCTCCCGGCAGCCAATTTGATCCCCTTCCAATTATTCTGTCGGACCTCCGACACAATCAACTGGCTTAGGAGTTCCATGCATAGAACAAAAATGGCAGGTGACATGGCATCCCCTTGACGGATGCCTCGTTCCGGTTCAAAAGGTTCAAGTCGCTCTCCGTTCCAAATGATGGAAAGTCGTAGGGTCCTAATACATGCCATAATTATATTCCTCCATGCCATGTTAGAACCCATCCAAACCAAGGTATCCTGTGTAAAACCCCATGACAAACGGTCATAGGCCTTCTCCAGGTCAAGCTTGATCTCCATAATACCTTTCTTTCCCCGCTTCTCCCGCATGGTGTGCATCACCTCTTGGTAGATGATTACGTTATCTGAAATCTGACGCCCCGGGACTAAGGAACTCTGGAAAGGCCCCACGATCTTTGGCAAAAGAGACTTCAACCTGTTAGTTATAGTCTTGGTAACGATTTTGTAGCTTACGTTGCAGAAACTGATGGGTCGGAACTGCTTAATAGTTTCCGGGTTGTTGACCTTTGGGATGAGGGCAACAAGAGTATCATTAAGCCCTTCTGGGAGGCTACCCAAACGGATTGCATCGTTAACCAATTTAAAAATGCCGTCCCCGGCTTCCTCCCACATGTGTTGGTAAAAGCCTGCGTGGAAACCGTCCGGACCAGGTGCTTTGAAAGGTTTCATGTCGAAGACTGCTTCATAAACTTCCTCTTTCGTGACTGCTTTGTTGAAAACATCCCATTCATGCCTTTGCAAGATTGGAAAGGAGGCCTCCAGATGGATTGCATTGGCCCTTCCAGCCTCCTTAGAGAACAGCTTAACGTAATAGCTTCTGATATGCTCCTTAAGCCCACTATCCTCTGTGAGCCAATCCCCGGCATCATCTAGCAGCCTTGTCACGGTGTTGCGTGACTTTCGAATCATTGTGGCCGCATGGTAGTAAGCCGTGTTCCTGTCACCAGAGTGTAACCACTCCTCCCTATATCTTTAATACCAAAGCAACTCTTCTTGATGCAAGATGTCTTCCATCTCGAAACGGAGGCTCTTCTCTAGCTTCCAGAGACCCCGGTGCATATTAACTAGCGGTACCTGTTGAATTCCATTTAATCTGGCCATAACAGTTCTCTTACGCTTATGAATATTACCAAAAATTGTCTTGTTCCAATCCGTGAGACCCATTGCTAGTCTCTTCATATTTGCTACGTAGTCCTGATCATGGCCCCAAAGGCGCTTCACTGTTTCCCGCAAATCAGAGTGTGTCAGCCAGGCTGCCTGAAAAAGAAAATGGCTCGTATTAGTACGGCGGTGTTCATCATCAAAACGAATTAAAAGAGGTGCGTGATCGGAGGCGAAACGAGGCAGATGTACGACTTTCGCTTTCGGAAATCTGAAGGTCCAATCCACGTTGCATAGGGCCCTATCTAGGCAGGCCCCTTTTATTAAATCCACTTGACCATCTTTCACCCATGTAACTTTTGGACCAGAGAAACCAAGGTCGATGAGACCTTCATCAATCCAATTAACGAAGTCCGAGCTCCGTTGGGTAGAGAAAGACTTGTAGTTACTTGTTTCTTCCCGGTTGATCACCGAGTTAAAATCCCCAGCAACCAGCCATGGACAATGAATACCTCTTCCTGATTGTGTAAGGTCCAGCCAGAGGCGGCGGCGAAGGTGGTGCGCGGGGCTGCCATACACAGGCGCAAACATTCAATGGGGTTGTCCAGGTTGAGAAACCTGCAACAGAATGAATTGTGGATGAGTGAAAATCATCGTAGCTGATACCGGGTCTTTCCAGAACACCCATATACCTCCACTGAAGCCAACCGCTTCAACCCGAATCCAGTCCGAGAAACCGAGTTTCGAGCAGATACCGTTAGCCTGGTTGCCTGAAACCTTTGGCTCAAAGAGACAAAGGATGTGGGGTTTGTGGGATTTGAGGAGGTGATTAAGAGCGATACGGAATGACTTCCCGCCTGCGCCCTGGCAATTCCATAGAATGCAAACCATTAAAACCAAAAGATAAAAGGTTAAAACACAAAGGAAAACCAAGGTACTAAAAACTATAAAAAACCAAAAAAGGATATAGCAAAGACCAATTACTGGTCACTTCTGTTCCTCTCAAACTCGCCAGTCTCCTAGAACACCTCAAGGTTCATCACAATGTCACCTTCATCATCCCTCCGGTCGGTTGGGTCCGTATGATTCTATTTTGTCGATTGCCATACTTGAGAAGGGATTTCGCTCGCCTCCTCCCCCGTGAACACCCTGGTGGAACTGATGACTAATCCCCCTTTTTCCCCTCGGACCACCACATGTTCGTCCTCCTCGGCCGCGCGCCTGGTCTGCGATCCCGAAGCTTTACGTTGTCGCGCAGTGGCCTGCCCAGATTCCTTGTTACTCACCCCCGCGCCCCCAAATGGTTCATTCTCAATTTGCTTCTGTGTCGCGATCACATTTGGTCTCCGCTGCCTGTTTCCTCCCGTAGGTGGAACAGTAGATCCCACCTGCGCTGCCGTAGCTGTCTGCCTCGTGGTATGGTTTATTTCTTCCCACTCAGACGCTGCATTTAGCTCATTGGATCCCTCTTCGGCAACCTCTCCGCCTGCATTCTCTGTCTCGTTCCCATTGTCTAAGGGTGCGAATCTGGAAGATTGCATGCCTTTGCCACGCCTGTTGCTTCCTATCTTGCCACGGCCACCTGCATCTTTTTTGGTTTGATCCACTTGTCTCACCGTTGGTCTCCCCCCTTCCTCTTTGGAGCTATCATCCACTCACCAAAAGGGGCTGATCCAATCACAGCTGTTCGGTTTTCCTTCTCATGCACCACAATATTTTCCGTTCTGTCCGCGTCCCCATCATCCGATTTGTCTGCGTCATGCGTGGATTTCCTCGTTTGTAGGCATGCATCCGGTGAATGGCCGTATACTTCACATGAGAAGCACACTAAGTGAATTCCTTCATAGGCAACAGACCTCACCCGATCTTTGTATTTGAACTTCAAGATCAGAGGTCGGGTGATGTCAACCTCCACACAGATCCTGGCAAAATACCCCATTGACACCAGACTTGTAGCCTGATCGACACGGATAGATCTTCCAACTTTGTTACCCAGCTTCTTGAGAAATATCAGGTTATAATACTCAGCAGGCAGACAAGGGATCCTTACCCATACGAGCATTTTTTCTGTGTGATCAGAATAAGGGTCGAAATCTGGTTCCCAAGGTTTCACGATCAGGTAGTGATCTAAGACCATCCACGGCCCCTCGAACATCGCGAATTCGATATCATCAACCGATCCAAACCGCACGAGGAAATACCCGTTTTCGATTGCTATCAGCTCCAGGCTTCCTTTGGGTTTCCACATGGAGCCAAGCCGCCTCAGCAAGTACGCATATCCCACGCTCCTACCCATCACCTTGACGATAAGAGTTTTCTTCCATGGGGCCCTGATCGCATCTATCTCCTTCTTGGTCAGTCGTATCGTAGGGCATATAGGATCATCGTCTTCCTCATCGGAGATCTCATCCGGGGTCATCTCAGTGTCAGCAACCCCCACTGCCGGCATCTACTCGACGCGGCCAGCCGCACTTTCAATGTATGTCTTGCGTGGCGCTTCCAAAGCCAGCGATCCCATCATATCTTCGCTCGATCCATTCATCGGATCATGCGGTCTAGACTCCGCCATCTCTGCCACCGGCGTCTCATTGACAACATCAACCTCGGCCCCCGGCTCTGGCATCTCCACCACCATCATCGAGTGTCCTCCTTCATCAGCAACAACATGTTTTTGTTTCTTCGTGCTCTTCTCAAGGAGATCGTGATCCTCCACTAATCGCTGGCTAGAGAGCCTTTCCATGAGCATTTCCACTAGCGAACCAAATTGCCGATTAAACTGATAAATTGTGAATATTCAATATGTATATATATATATTGTGTTTTTTAGACCCGGGTTCACCTCCACTAAATAATTAAATTGCCAATTAAACTGATAAATTAAAAAATTTTACAATTGTGAATAAAATATTTTAATTATATAAAAAATTAATTTGATGAGTCTAATAATCTAACCCACTTATGTTTAAGAAGTGATGTCCAACAAAATATACATGAAATTTATTTGTAAACTCATTTTAGTATTCTTTTTATTAAGTTTTGAAATAAATATTTAAAATATATTAATAAATTTATTACAAATAAAATATTTTTATGAAAATAAATAATAAAAAAATTTATTATAAATATTATATTATTGTATATTATATTGTAGTGTAAGTATATTAATTATTTTTAGTTGAAATTTAGAAATGGAAATTGAGATTCGGATTGATTGCATGATGTATAAGTTTATATATATTAGTGTAAATATGCGAATTTATTTATATTGAAAGTTATTACTTCTAGAATTATGTTTGAAAAATTCAAATATTATTATATTATTAGTTGATTTAATATTTTATACATAGATATTGTATCTTAAATTTTTTATTAATTTCCATTAATTGCCATATTATTCATAGGGTGTGAATGGGATAGCGATTCTTTGAGTACAATTTAATGGTTCCGTGTGCCACCTCTTAGTACTCAAAAAGTTGAAGTTCTTGCTTATCATGAATGTGAAAATTTTCTACATCTTTAAATAATTGTAATTAAATTGACTGCTAGTTCAAGTTAGAATTAAATTTATGTGTCACTATGGACACTGATTTAGAAAAATACCCGTCGAAAGAGATTGCTGTAAACATAATAGTTATATGACTTCGTGACGTGTAGCAACATGAACTCAAGTGGTCCCTAATTTTTCTCTCTATTTTTATCAACTTAAATTTTTTCTTTTTATTTTTAATTTTTTACAAAGAAAATTAATGTATAAAAATATATTATTAAAAAATTTCACTTGAAAATTTTAAAAGAACAAATTGCACTTTTGGTCCTGTGACTATTAGGGTACTGATAATTTGAGTACGTGACTTTCAAAACTCCCAATTTAAACCTTTAACTATGCAATTATTAGCAGATTTGGTCCTGCCGGCCAATTTTGGTCGGAAAAACATAAAATGTTTCGAATTAATTTGTGATGAGGGCAAAACCGTCATTGCATGTGTATTTATTTGGGGGAAAACTCATGCCGGGCTATTAAACGGCCAATCGTCTGATTAACACCATCTTCACTGCTGCAATTCACTTTGGCGAGAAATTCTCACCGGCGTCCTCGACTGCGTCTCGACTGCTTCTCGACCTCCTCCGCTGGGCTAGTAATGGCTAATTCGTATTCCTCTTCTTCTTCTAATTATGCTAGTGAGTTCTATGAATTTGGAGAAAGGTTTCCAATTGTCCTTTGTAGATGTGGTGAGCAACTGAAAATACGCACTTCATGGACAACTGAGAACCTAGATCGTAGATTTTGGCAATGCTTGGGTGGTAATGTAAGTTAATTTTTTTTCTTTTTGTTTTAAGAAATTAGTTTCAAAACATCAATTTCGTAGGTTTTTTTTTTGAAATTAGTTTCAAACCTAATTTATGAACATCAAATTCGTAGATATTTTCTGTTTTAGAAATTGGTTTAAAACCTAATTTTTTTTTGCAATTTTTGTATTATTGCAGAGGAAGGTGGGATGTGGTTTTATTGATTGGTATGATACTCCAATGTGCTATCGTTCAAAGTGAATAATTCCAGGATTGCTAAAACGCATCAACCGACAAGATGAAGAGATACGAAAATTAAATTTGAAACTGAGAAGTGAACAAGGTTTGAAGTGGATGAACAAGGTTTTAGTAGTCTTGATTGTAATATTTGTAGCAGTAGTTGGTTGTAGGGTTTGGTAATGAACTTTCCAAGTTATGGTTATGTGTAATGGGTGTAGTTTGGTATGTTTTGGTAATGTATGCATTATGGTAACCTTCTGGTAATGTATGAATTATGGTTGGTTTTGGTAATGAATGAATTAGGGTTGGTTTTGGATATATATGTTTTGGTAATGTATGAATTCCAGGTTTGGTTTTGGTAATGAATGTATTGGATATATATGGTTTGGTAATGTATGAATTCCAGGTTTGGTTTTGGTAATGAATGAATTGGATATATATGGTTGGTTTTGGTAATGAATGAATTGGTCAGTTTGTACACTGAGTATATAGTAATGGAACTTGGACAAAATCATGAAAAAAGGCTGCTGCATTACCATTCACAAAAAAAACATTGTAGTTTTAATAGTTTGATACAAAACATCTAAGCCAACCAAAAAGATACTACATGGACTGTTTGATACAAAACATCTAATTCTCAAAACAGAGTCGTAAGCCAACCAAACAAGCACCTAGTTTGCAATCACTCAAGGTTAATTGGTTCACCCTTATTTCCAAAGAACTTGGACTTGAAGGTGGTCTTGCTCCTGGTATAATAAGGGTTTTTCCTATTGGATGGCCTCACTTTCCTTTTGCCCTTGCTTTCCTTGGATTGGATTTGTTCCTGGTCATCTTGCTGCTATGCATGTCCACTATCTGGTAGGTCATCATGGTCATGTTGCTCCTGCTGCTGCTGGTCTTCAGAGGTAAGGTGGTCTTCTTTCTCAGGTTGGTGCTAGCCAGAGACATCTTGTTCCTCATGAGACTGGTTGTGCCCTGAAGGCAAGTGGATGGGGATTTGTCTGGTAGTATAAATTACTCTTTTTTTTTTTTTTTTTTGCTTCAACTGGGACAAAACAAAGAAACAAGACAAGTTAACTTAAGCTTAATACAAAAAAAAATGTAGTTGAATATGTTATGGGAGGCCAAAAAGTAAACCTTTTTATTTGGATTTGTCGGACATTTCCTTGCATTGTGGCCAGATTGCCTACACAGTCCACAATGTAGTTGAATGTGTTGTCTAGACACAAACTTTCCATCTTCTGTCAATTCACCAGCTGACTTTGCCCTTAGCTTTTTTGGCCTCCCAACCTGCATATCAATTTAGTCAAATAAAAGTTCATAGATAGGTCAATCATTAATGACTATGCAATGCATATATACCTTGGCAGAATACAAAGGAGGCAATGGTGGAGTTCTGTCACATTGTGGCCACTCATCTGGACCTGTCATAGGGTTGATACAACCAGCATATACCTTCAAGTATGTCTCTTTGGAGTAACATGGATGGACAAAGTCAGTAACTGCACCCTTTCTATACTTTTTCCATATAGCACATATGGCATGTTTGCATGGAATGCAGTTAGGTCCCACACCCTACAAGAACATTTTTTCACCTCCAGATCAACCTCTTGTTGATCCCCATATAAATGGCCAACTTCAAACTTGAAGAAATCACATTGTGTTGCCAGGTATTTTGCTGCCTCCTTCTCAATTTTCTTCAATTTTCTCACAATTGCAGGACATATCAAAGATTTCCACTCTGCTGCTTTTCGTTTTTTCTCAAAGAATTTACCCATCAACATTTTCCTAAGAACTTCAAGACATTCAATAATTGGTTTGTCCCTTGCATCCCTTATAGATCCATTCCATGACTCACAGATGTTATTTACCAACATGTCACAGTGAGAGTGTGTAGAGAAGTGAGATCAAGACCACTCTGTTGGACTCTTATCACCAAGCCATTGGTATGCATCTTCATCTAAGCCCCTAAGTTTACTTAATTCAACATTGAATGCATTCAAAGTGGTTGCCCTAGCACAAGCCCACAGACAGTCCTTAAGTGCCTTCCCTTGGAAACCTGCCACCTTCATATTTGCATGAAGGTGTTTCACACAGAATCGATTCTCCACACCAGGTAGCTCACTCTCAAAGGCAGGAATCAATCCCTTCTGTTTATCACTAATGAAGCAGTATTCATCTTCAACACTCTTAGTTATTTCCAAATCTGTCTTCAGAAGTTCTAGAAACCATGTCCAAGATTCCTTTTTCTCCCCTTCCACAATAGCATATGCAAGTGGAAATCACTACTACAAAAATACCTTTTAACGTCGGTTATTTTAGGCATATGGCGTCGGTTATTTGCCGACGTAGACCCAGGGGACGTTGTAAATAAATTATACGACGTCGGTTTTTCTAAAAACCCAACGTCGTATGTTGTTTTTTTAAAAAAAATAGAGATACGACGTCGGATTTTTGAAAAATCCGACGTCGTATCTCATTTTTTTAAAAAAATATATAGATACGACGTCGATTTTTTATACAAATCGACGTCGTATCAATTTTTAATTTAAAAAAAAAAACTGTAAAGAGAAGCCGACAATCAATTTTTACAAGCAAAGAAGAGATAATTTGAAAAACAAAGGAGTACTAAAGCATAAAACAGAAAGAAAAAATAGATCCAAGCATATAAAATAGAAAAAAAAAATAGAGATACAAGCATAAAACAATAAAAAAAAATATATAGATATAAGCATAAAACAAAAAATCTAAAGCAAGCAGGAGAGAGATAATTTGAGAGGCATCTCATCCACACTCTCTCTAACTCATCTTCATCCACTCTCATAAGCATACAACCGAAAATCAAAAGCAGGAATCGAAAAAAAAAAATCAAAAATACAAGTATACGTACGGAGCAATATTTGTAGATCGAAGATTCGAAGCAAGCAACCTCCACGCCGGACCTGCTACGCTCGTCGCCTTACAATCGAGGTCGCCGGAGAAAGCTCGTCGCCATACAGTCGTGGTCACCGGAGATAGCTCGTCGACACTCCAAGCTGGAAGCTCGCTCGTCACCGGAGAACGTAGATCTACATCGAATCGTTGTTGTCCAAGTCGCAAGTTGTTGCTGCTGCTGGACGCTGGTACACCGTGACGAAGAAGACGGTGTACTGTAAGAGCGGATGAAGAAGACCATGGTGGAAGAAGGAATGAAGAACGAAGATGATAGCTGCTTTTTCTTTTCTATTTTATGCTTTATGCTTTTGAGAAATGGATGAAGGAGAGCCAGAAAGAGAGTGTGCGATAAGATGTCCAGATCTAGATCTGTATGCGTTAAATAAGAAAAACATTTTTTTTAAATTTTATTTAAAAAATACGACGTCGGTTATCCCGATAACCGACGTCGTATGTCTTTAATTTATTTAAAAAAAATATTATTTCAAACCTACGACGTCGGTTCTAGGGATAACCGACGTCGGTCTTTTTTAATAACCGACGTCGTATGTCTTAATATTTAAAAAAAAAATTACGAACTCGGTTTTTTCGGAGAACCGACGTCGTAACTAATATAAATTACTTTTACTTTATTTTATTGACATATAACGTCGGTCTTTCAAAAACCGACGTTAATTAGGCGACGCAATATCCTTTTTCTGTAGTAGTGAATATACTATCATTGCCATCAATACTAACAGCTGTTAGTAGCATCCCACCAGTTTCAGTTCTAAGGTGATAGTCATCTACACCTATAATTCTTCTGCAATGCTTGAATCCTTGCTTGCTAGCTTCCCAACACACATACATTCTCAAAAATCTGGAATTGCCACTTTCATCACTTAGGTCACTGAGTTTCACAGGACATGTTGTCTTGGGGTTTGTTCTTGATATTTCTGCCTTATAACTCCATATCTTCTTAAAGGTATCTTCCACCTTACCTTGTCTTAGCTTCTTTGCCTTCCAAATAGCCCTATAGGCTTGTGAATTGCTAACATAAAAACCCTCCTGACTGCACACCTTATCCTTGAACTTTCTCATCATCTAATCAGGGTGGTCTTGCAATTCAGTTGACCACCTTTTAGCAACCACAGAAGACTTAACCATAGAATTTTCCCATACCCAAGAACACCCTTCATGTTCATCTTTCATGTTCAAAATCCTCCATGACAGTGAACCAAGTACTTTCCTCAACCCTATGCTCCAAGGACACCCCTCCTGTGTACATTTAACAATCACCCTCCCCTTGTCATTTTTCGGAGTTTTAATCTCTTTGCCATTATTGAAAGCATAATTTTGCACAACTTCTCTAAACTGTTATTTAGATGCAAAAGTCATTCCTAAGCTAAACTGGGGGTCCTTCATGTCTGTTGTAGCTCTAAATATAGGCCACTTACCCTCAACATCACTATCAGAATCAACAATTGACTCCTCATCTGAAAACTTAATTTCATTCTCATCCTTTATCATCATTTTTTTTTTTGCTAATTTGCAGACAAGCATCATCCACAGTTCTAGCTTCTTTTGCTAAGTTTGCAGCCCTCTGTTGTTCTGCAAGCTGCTCATCAACCTTCAAACACTCTACCTCAATTGCATTTTCCTAATCACTTTCTGTCTCTAGTACTTCCATATCAGCATCAATCAAGTCCACCTCATCCATTGTTTCAACCCAAAACTCCAACATATTGCCTGGGTTCTCCTCATTCAATATACATATTACATCCATGTCAGATTGTAGCAACTTCAAACCATCATTCGAAAGGCAATATATTAGTGCTCCTACTTCACAATACCCTAAATTTTTTATCATATCCTTCAACACTTGTAAACAAATTTCCCTAGCTTCCATTCTGTCATACACTTCTACATCACCACCCATATATTTAACCTCACCTACCCTATTTATTATTCCATTATGGAAAAGGAAAACGGAAAAAGGTCCAACTCCATCCCCTGTAAAGAAAGCATTTACACATGCAATAGTCAACATACTGGACCCCACAGACCACAAAGCAATAAAGGCATACAGAAATGGTTCCTAATCCCAGTTTATGCACATGGCATCTTGACAAAAGTATAAATATAGTGGTGGTGCCCACACAACACAACACAATAAGACAAAATGTTCAAAAAACTTGCCCAGAAATGGTCCCCGCAGAATAAAACAACTGTACATAATATATTCTATGCATATATAAAGCCCACGACAAAACCCTAGATATGCAGTAACTGTCATTCTACTCCACACACACAAAATAGTCAACCCAAACAACAAATATGGTCATACACTATCAATTTCATCAAATTTTAACTCCGAACAAAACTTTTCTTACTTAGTTGTAGAGCCATTCCAGTCGCAGACGATGAATTTCGCACTCTCCAAACCCAGAAGATGATGTCCACAATCGATGCTCCAAATGCAATCTGCGATGACTAGTCGAAGATGATGTCCAGTCGCAGTACACGGATTCGTTTCTTTCGTTCGAGCTTCCAATAATCGAAGATGAGGTTAAGTTCTTTGGATTTTCCCCCCAATTCGTTGCTTTCCCCCCAATATACAAGTGTATTGTTGACTGACTGACCGGAAGGTGTTTTCCCCCCAAATAAATTCACATGCAATGACGATTTTGCCCTCATCACAAATTAATTCGAAACATTTGATGTTTTTCCCGCCAAAATTGGCGGGCAATTTGGCCGGCAGGACCAAATCTGCTAATAATTGCATAGTTAAAGGTTTAAATTGGGAGTTTTGAAAGTCACGTACTCAAATTATCAGTACCCTAATAGTCACAGGACCAAAAGTACACTTTGTTCTTAGTAATAATTACATAATGACTACAATTACGAAAAATCTCGAAGGGATAACGACAATTAAAACTGTGAAATAATTAGGGTTTTGCCTATTTATAATATATTATAAATACGGAGATAATACGGTAAATAAATATGCATTAATGCATATTTATTTACCGTATTATCTCTGTATAATGTACCGTACTCTGCTTGGGAATAAATTTTATAAAAGATAAAAATGTATTCGTTAGATGCATGGGGAAAAAAATAAAAATGCATCCCACAATGTTGTTTTTCCTATGTTTGTATCCCAATAAAAACTATCTCATCCCAAACAAAAAACTATCCTAACCGGCAAAACCACCCACGGTGGTGGTTGTGGTTGCGGTGTTTTGATGATGGTGGTGATGGTGGTAATAAAAATCCGAAAATTAACTTGAAAAAAATGAGAGAGAAGATAAAGACGGGAAAATCAAGAATCCAAAAAACGTTTTTTTGACTAAAAATCTAGGGAAAATATTTTCTGCCAAATTTGAAATTGGGTCTCTTTTCTATTGACCTCAATGAATATTTTCCTTGAATATTCAAACACGGGAAAATCTTAAAAAGAAATTCCGAAAGTCATTTTCGAGTTTCCCAACGAACCCTTAATGTATTGTAATTAATATTTATAGGGGCGTTTAGTTTACAAAATGTGCTATCACATTACTAAAAGGTCATGTAAGATTATAAGAAAGTAACTTTATTACCTTTGTATTTAGTTAAAATGGTAAAAATATAATATTATCTTAAAATTCACTACAAAAATTATATATTCAATATAGAAGGGTAAATTTTAAATATTTAAAAGTCATGTTGCAATACCTTAGAAAATATAGGTATTAGGTAATCACATTATCTATCAAAAGCTAAGTAAAAACATAATGACCCGCCCCTCACGTAGAATTTTCTCCCTAGAAGTCAGCTAGGGTTTCGCCTCCTACCTTCGACGCACGGCGAAGGTTCTCCGTCAATCTCCAATATCCTTCTTGTTTCTCTTCTCTACGGCGAGGGCCGACAGTCTCGACGACGATGGAAGCAGCAGCAGCAACCGAGGGTGATGTTAACGTGATGACGCAACATTGGGCAGATATTGCCCTAGAAGAAGAGGATGATGTCTTCGCACCGGTGGAACCGGCCGACGAGGGCGAAGCAGTGGCCGTCCGGGAATCATGGCGGTTGGTGGGTAGGTTCTTGGCAACGAAGATTATCAAGGAAGAGTATATGAGTCAGGTCATGGCTTCGGTTTGGCAACCGGTAAAGGGTGTCCAGGTAACTAAATTACAACCTGGCCTATTCTTGTTTGTTTTCTACCATGAGACAGACATGCAGCATGTCCTGGATGGTGGCCCGTGGTCGTTTGAGAATCACACACTGATTTGTAAGCAAGTTTGGAATGGGGTGATACCGGTCACGGTACCACTTGATACTGTTGATATGTGGGTTCAAGTCCATGAGCTCCCCCTGGGGTATACATCAGATACGATATTGGAGCAGGTTGGCAATTTCCTAGGGACCTTTGTCAAAATTGATGACCGATTTGCGAATGCACCATGGAAAACCTTCTATCGTATAAGGGTTTCAATACCGGTTTTGAAACCGCTCAAACGCCGTATGAAGCTCTTGAAACGGGATAAAACGACATGTTAGGTAAGCTTTAAATATGAGAGCTACATAACTTCTGCTTTTTCTGTGGTATGTTGGGACACCTGCATAGATATTGTTTGAAGGCTCGGGAAGCGGCCATTCCGATAGATAAATATCCCTATTCTGATGAGCTGCGGGCCGGGCAACAGAGGGGACCACGGAAGGTGGGGGCACCGTGGTTGTTGGATAAGGATGGTAAGCCAGTGCAAGTGGCAGCGACCGTGGCTACTGTACTGCCGGGGGACCGACTACCGACCACTCGGTGGACTCGGATTCTGGCCGGCGGGGGCCCGAGCCGCTTGTGTTGGCTTCGGCAAAGAGGCGGCGAGAAGGGGAGGATGTTATGCCTATGGTGAAGTTGGGGAGGATGTTTCAATGACAGAAGTTGTTTCAAAAAACTTGTCATTGGCGGGTACTGGTTCCCAGGCCCGCCCGTCATCATGAGTACCCTCAGCTGGAACTGTCGTGGCTTGGGCAATCCATGGACAGTTCGTGAAGTGAAAGACCTTGTGTCACGTAAGAAGCCCGATTTTGTATTTCTCATGGAAACTAAGGTATGTCGAATACATGCTGAACGTATTCGTGTTGATCTTGGTTTTGATGGTCTTTTTTATGTTGATAGTGTTCGTCTGAAAGGTGGTCTAGCTTTGTTGTGGCGAAAAAATAATACAGCAAGGCTTATTAGTTATTCTAAAAATTATATTGATATTGAAGTAACTATGTCTGGTTTTCCGAAGTGGCGCATGACGTGTTATTATGGCTACCGAGAGTGTAATCGGGGTGCAGAGTCATGGGATTTATTGAAATCACTTGCGCCACAGTCTACTCTCCCTTGGGTCATGGTGGGTGATTTTAATGATCTCCTTTTTCAGTATGAGAAGAGAGGGGGTAATCCGCATCCTAATAGTCTCCTTCGTGGATTTAGGGAGACTATCAAGCAATGTGGTTTATCTCAACTGCCTATGAGTGGATATCAGTTTACATGGGAAAAGAGCAAAGGAACACCAGATTGGATTGAAGAGAGGTTAGACAAGGTTCTAGCATCAGATGAGTGGTGTGGTATTGTGCCTGAAGCAATATTCATTAATTTGCTGACAAGGAAATCTGATCATTCTGCACTCTTACTAGAGACTCGTAATCTATGTCGATGGAATGAGAGAAGTAGGAGATTTCGTTTTGAGATGGCCTGGTTACATGATGAGGGCTGTAGGGAGGTGGTAGAAAAGTCATGGGAAGAGAAAAGGTCGAAAGGGATCCAATAATGCATATCACATTGTGGAAATTATTTGATCCGATGAGGTGGTGATCGTTATCATAAGTTTGGTGAGAAAATTTTACAGCTGCAAAAGGACCAATTACATCTCAGAGGGCGTATGGATCCAGCCTCCCTAGTTGAATTCCAGTGTTTGGAGGAGGTTCTAAGTCACATGGAGACCCAGGAGGATACCTATTGGAGACAACGAGCTAAGCAGCATTGGCTTAAAGGTGCGGATGCCAATACAAAGTTCTACCACAGGTATGCCTCTCACCGTAAGAAAAAGAATACACTTTTTAAACTTATGAATGATAACGGGGAGTGGATGGAAGGAGAGGATATGAAGGATATTATTCTAGATTATTTTGATGGAATTTTCAAGTCTAGTAATCCTGCGAGTGGTAATGCTTTATTTGATAATGTAATGTCGCGGGTTACCCAAACCCAGAATAATTCCTTGCTTTGACCCTTTGAGATGAATGAAGTCAAGGATGCTTTCTTTGCAATGTTCCCTGATAAAGCGCCTGGCCCTGATGGTATAAATCCTGGATTCTATCAACATTTCTGGGATGTAGTTGGGGAGCATATCTCAGAGTTTATAATTAAGTGTCTAAATACCCGCTCATTCCCTGCTGGTTTAAATGATACGAATGTGGTGCTCATACCCAAGAAAAATACCCCTGAAGTGGTCTCTGATCTTAGACCTATAGCCTTGAGTAATGTAATTTACAGGATAATGGCCAAGATGATTACCCATAGAATGAAGCCATTGATGCAGAGCATTATATCTTAGTCCCAGAGTGCTTTTATCCCTGACAGATTAATCACAGATAATATCCTCATAGCAGCTGAAGTGGGACATTATTTGAATAGAAAACAATGTGGGATGGTTGGTTGGGGTGCCCTCAAACTTGATATGGCCAAAGCTTATGACCGTATGGAATGGTCCTTTCTCCATAAAATGTTGCTGGCTCTGGGTTTTGATGACAGGTGGGTGGAGTTAATTATGCTGTGTGTGACTACAGTATCATACAGTTTCCTGATTAATGGCTCTCGCAGTTCCCCGATCACACCCACCCGAGGACTAAGGCAGGGGGGCCCTTTATCCCCTTACTTGTTTATTATTTGTGCAGAAGGGCTTTCGTTATTGTTGCAGCAGGCACAGATGAATGGTCTAATACATGGGTGCAGAGTAGCCAGAGGTGCTCCCCCTATCTCTCATTTATTTTTTGCTGATGACAGTTTACTGTTTTTCAAAGCAAATGTGCAGGAAGCCACTGCAATTAAAGATTGTTTATCCCTATATGAGGCCTCGTCGGGGCAGAAAGTCAATTATCATAAATCAAGTATAAGCTACAGTAAGAATACGAGTTATGGGGACAAGGATACTGCGGCGCAGATTTTAGAAGTAACTCAAGCTCCCAACTTTGGGAAGTATCTTGGACTGCCCTCTTTTGTGGGAAGGAATAAAAAGGCAACATTTGCTTATATTGAGGATAAAATCAGACAGAGAATTGGATCATGGAATAAGAAGTTGTTATCTCAGGCTGGTAAGGATATTCTATTGAAAAGTGTAGCACAAGCTATGCCTACCTTTTCAATGGGTGTTTTTTTACTACCTTCAACTGTCTGCACGGCCATTGAAAGGGTCATGAATCGCTACTGGTGGGGATCAGGAACTAACCGGGGAATCCATTGGAAAGCGTGGGATAGATTATGTATTCCGAAAAAATATGGGGGTTTGGGTTTCAAAGATTTGAGGGCTTTCAATTTGGCAATATTAGGCAAGCAGGCGTGGAGGTTGCTTACTAACCCTGATTCATTGGTATCTCGTATTTACAAGGCCAGATATTATCCTAAGGACACATTTTATGAGGCCAACTTGGGAAATAATCCCAGTTATTGCTGGCGCAGCATTATGGCAGCTAAGGATTTAATATGTAGTGGAATACGACGCCGAATTGGGAATGGAAAATCTACCTTAATTTGGGAACACCCTTGGCTTCAGGACGAACATGATCCTATGATTCAGACTGAGATGCCACCACAGCTTGCTGGAGCCAAGGTTGAGGGATTGATTGACCAGGATACTAGTTCATGGGATCAACATATTCTTACTGATATTTTTCAACCAATTGATATACCTAGGATCCTCAAAATTCCAGTTTCCCCAGAGTATGATGATACGTGGTATTGGCACGGGGATCCAAATGGTTGTTACTCTGTCAAGAATGGTTATAGGTGCATTATTGAGGATTATGAAACTGATAATAATGGGGCATTTGATAAGTGGATCACTCTATGAAAATTAAAAATCCCTCCCAAGTGGAAAACTTTCCTATAGAGAGCTATTAGTGATATCCTTCCCACTACCAATAATTTGCTTATAAAGAGAGTGGATGTTGATCCGATGTGTGCCATGTGTAGGATCATGGGTGAAGACACTATGCACTCATTGGTATTGTGTGACTATGCAAGCTCCATTTGGGCTCAATCCAACCTTCCACTCCCCAATATTATGACAAATATTTTCCATGAATGGTTTAGTGCAATCATAAATGTTCTAGACACTAATGGAATTATTTATGCAGCTGCAATTTTATATCATCTTTGGAGAGCACGCAATGGAGCTGTGTGGGATGCATGTCTACCATGACCGAAAAATGTAATTGCGGCGGCCACTGCCACAATGTATGCATGGCAAAGTATACACAGCCCAACCACCGCCCAATTGCCAGTCCACCACCATGTTGCTGCAGCGCCACTGCCAGACCACCGAATTGCTGCTGCAATGCCGCTGCCGGACCCATCTTCAACTGCCGAACGCCGTGGCCACGCACCAGCGCCCCACCTGGCCGAACAGCTGCCGAACACACTGCCGCACCACCCCGAACCCCTAATCACGATAGTAAGGCCACGGAAATGCTATGTGGATGCCGAGTATCACCAAGGAACAAACACGGCTACGGTTGGGGCAGTCCTACTCGATGCCACCGATCGTTTTATTTCGGCCTTCAGCGCGCCTATCCTGAGCTGTTTTTCCCCACTTATGGCCGAAGCATTCACATGTAAAGAGGCTCTATCCTGGCTAAGGGCACGAGGTGAACAATCTATACAGCTTCATACGGATTGTCAAACGTTACAGTGTTATCTATCTGCACCGGACAACCCATCCCGCTTATACATTGGTTATGCTATTGATAGCTACAGAAGTTATATGTCTGCGTTTAATTCCTACTCTGTCATTTTTATTCCTAGATTACAAAACTTGTTAGCTCATACTTTAGCTACTTCAGCCTTTACGCTTTCTACGGCAATGTACTGGGACAATGTCCCACCCGACTCTATTTCAGTTTATCTATGAATACAACCCATTGGTTGACCTTCAAAAAAAAAAAAAAAGGTAATCACATTATCTTTATTTTATAGTTTTATTTTTTTTTTACATGGCAATAATATTACATTACTTGTGGTTATCACATAAGGAGAACTAAATAATGTTATATAAAATGCTTTAAAAAAAATGTTATATAACATAACTATACTCACATTTTCCCATTACAACAAGGAGTTGTATCATAACGTAAATAAGCAATGTTTAAATAATAGAATCTTTCTAAAATTCTAAATTTTAAAAAACTCTTAAACAACATCTCTGCTCTAAGAACCATTATTAGAACTGATGGGTGTCGGGGTATACCAAGTCGGGCTTGGTAGGGGAGGATAGGCAGAGTCGGCGGGTAGGCTAAGTATGAAGGGCATTGTACTAGTCGGCCAAGTGGGAGAATGTAGTTAGGTTAACAGAGACGTGGGTGAAAGCAGTCATGCGGGCAGGAAGGAATGATGCTTGATGTAGGCGGGCAGGAGGGGGGGATGGTCGAGGGAGCTAGTCGAGTTACCAAACAGAACCTATAAGCAGTCGGTAAGGCGGCCAAGGAATAGAGCCACACAGACAGATGCTTGGCCAAAGTGCCAAGTAGGTGGAGACTCGCTCGGGCAGAATGGGTATACCAGGGAGCTAGGTGAGGGCAGGAGACCGAGTGCCAAAATGAGTCGCACCCGGGTAGAATAGTCAGCCGAGCGGAGGACTAAACGGATTGATCGATCATAGAGAGAGGATTGACCGACTCTGGGGCGGACTCGGGCAACAGTTGAGCTGCTAGCTGTATCTAGGAAGGATTTGGGGCGAATCTTGCGAAAGGTGGAGGAAAATCCATAGGCCACAAGGAAAGAAAATCAACTCTATTTATGGCAGGTTAGGTTTACCTAAATTATACCTTTTTTCTCTTGTATAAATAGCCAAAGAACACCCTGAAAAGGGGATTAAGCTTTCTTACGCATACTCAAGCAATAAAATACTTTTTCGGCGATATTTTTACTTTAATTAATTTTCCGGTAGTGTTGGCCCGCCGTTTGACTATTTTGGTGGTCGATAAAACCAACATTGATGTCGTTTGTGGGGATCGATACAAAGGTCGAATGCAACGCTGCCTAATGGGAGAGCGAGTTGTATTTTAAATGAGGGAGACGTATTTGAAAAAAGAGGTTGATCAAGTCCGAGATTCATTGAAAGTACATGAAGTAGAGTGGAAACTAAATGTGTGCTCAATTATGATCGATGCTTGGATAGATAGAAAGAGAATAAGCATAATTAACTTTTGTGTCAATTCAAGGTTGGGCACAATTTTTTTTAATCTTCTAAAGAATGTTCGATTGAGGCACACACAAGTCAATATATATTTGAGTATGTGGAGCATGACATTGAATAAGTTGGAGAAGAGAATGTTGTTCAAATTGTTATAGATAATGCCTCAAACAACATAGGAACTGCAAATTTGTTGAAGGAGAAGAGACCACAGATTTTTTGAACTTGTTGTGCAACCCATTCCATTAATATAATGTTTGAATGCATTGCAGGTGTGCGCAACGAATTCCATTAATCTAAATATTAATAGTGTAATTGTGTAAATGTGTAATACACTAATAGTCTAATACTTGAATGCCTTGCATGTTTACCAAGGTATAAAAGAGTTCTTGATCATATCAAGCGAAGGGTTTGACAATCTTTATCTATGCACACCATAAAACATTGGCAATGATGATAAGATCATTTACAAAGAAGCAAGCTGAGACATTGTTAGGCCAGGTGTGACTAGGTTTCTTCTGCATTCCTTACTTTACATAGTTTAGCTGATAAAAAAAGATGAATTAAATGCTATGTTTACAAGCAATGGATGAGATAAATGTAAATTTGCCAAAATAATTAAAGGGAAACATGTCTATACTACTGTCTTGAGTCAGTCATTTTGGCAAGGGGTGATTTTATGCTTGAAGGTTTTTGCATCGTTGGTGAATGTGCTTCGTATTGTTGATCAAGATAAGAAACATTCAATGAGATGTGTTTAAGGTGAGCTTATGCAGGCAAAAGAAGACATTAAAAAGTAAAAACTAAAAAACTATGAGCCTATCATTAAAATAAATAAATAATTGAAGAAAAGATGAAAATTAGGCTAGACCCCATCACTACTGAAAATCCTGCTATTTCCGTCCAACTCGTTAGACGGAAAACGGGGGTTATTGGTCGGAAAACGAGTTTCCGACCAACATTCTGTCCAAACTGAGGCCCCTGAAAAATGAACATCGATAATTCGGTCCAACATGACATATTGGTAGGAAGTTTCGTCCAACGGGTCAAAGTTGGACGGAATATCCGGATGATAACCCACCATTTTTAGAATGGGAATTTCCGTCCAACTTTAACTCGTTGGACGAAATATCCAGATGGTAACCCACCATTTCTAAAATGTGAATTACCATCCAACTTTGACGACAGTAATTCCAACCAACCGGTTGGTCGGAAATTGTGACTAACTTTGACCCTTTGGACGGAAATTTCGCATGGTAATCCACCATTTTCATAATGGGATTATCCGTCCAATTTTGAGCTGTTAGATGAAAATTCCGAGCAACAGGTTGGTCGAAAATTAGCAGTAGAATCTAAATTAATTTTTTTTTTTTAAATTTAGATCTTGCTATAATTTTGTTTTACCTGTTGTCAATACAATCTATATCATCAACAAAGTAATGTAAACACCATCTAAATTCAAAATAAAAAAAAATTAAATATCAAAATTTTTTGCAACAAAAAGATAGTTTCGTGTGCATAAATATTTAAGTAGTGCAGTATATTGCCATACACACACAAAAAAATTCATAAAAATATGAAGTACTTAATCTTGATCAGAAGCAGCTTGTGTTTCATCATTTAGTGAGCTGGAGTTGAACAACTTAGGATTTCACTGATGCAATAATGGCGGTTGTGACAAACCAAGTTTTTCCAATCCTATCATCCCATCAACAATAGTTTTTTTTGTACTCACTATTGAAATATGCAATAATACAGAAGTATTCCAATTAGAATTTAATGTACTGCCATGCTCTAAACATGGGCATTAGTAGGCTATATGCTCTAATGCATTGCAAGGCTAATGATTCGTCACAACAATTATGCTATACTAGTACTCTAGAGAGTCAATAACTAAAGTTTGTTGATGTATACACACACACACACACACAATTTAAAGTTGGGAAAATTTAGTGAGATATCAATTACAAACTTGGTTGCTTTGGAGCCCTATTTGGTAATAGTTCTGTTTGCTATATTGTACTTTACAAATTTTGTGGAACAAAATCGAGAGCTTGTATCATAAAATTTTTGTTAATTTCAAAAAAAAATGATTTTTAAAAGAAAAGGGCTCTAGGGCATTTCAAAAAAAGGTATGAAGTTCATGAATCATATCCTATTGCAAATCATTTATACCCACACTATCCACCACCAACACTAGTCAACTAATCTTTTACCTATTCCACAACACCCCCACAAAAGCATCCCAGTTCGATACATCATTTTCTCACAAAATTTAAACAAAAAATCAACTACCATAAAAAGGGTTAGTGAGTGGATTGCTAATAATAGAATAAGTATAGGATCCTGTACCTGGTAGGGTTATATGAAGGATCCCAGAGAACACATATCATCACCAACACCAAATAGGCTAATAAAATCCAATTGCTGACGAAAATGGATATGTTAGCACTTGGTGAGATTTCACCGTTTCACTATGCGTAAATGGAGCATTTGGTGTAAATTATGGTTTAGCACAACATATCACTATTTTTTCTTTGCAAGATTTTCGTTACTCTGAGTAAAGAAATGGAAGAGAAAGGACAGAAGAAAACATCATAACATATCCAGGCAACACAAAGCAAAACTGAAATGGCAAGAGCATTGATGTCTTCTTGTCT